CAGAATATCTCAGCGTAATCATGATTTTGTTAAATGGTTAAAGGATTCAGTTTTAATTCTAGACTCTGATGGAAGAGCCGAATTTCTGGCAATTCTCCATGCTATTTGGAGAAATAGGAATCGCTTGGTTCATCAAGGTATTAAGGCAAATCCTCTAAGTGTTCTCAAGGATATCTCAACTATCAATCAAATTCTGGGCTTCTTTACTTCATGATAAGGTTGAAGTTGTGGAAGGAGTTCAGTTTCAGTCTGGATACTTCAGATTTACTTTATTTTTATATTTTATTATATATTTATTAAAATATGAAATATAAAATTTTAATAAATCTATTTTATCATTAATCTGGATAATACAGATTTAATTTGAATAATTTAATTTAATATTATTTTTTAAATTTTGTTAAGTTGAATATCTAGATATACTTTGGATAGACTATATTTAAAGTAAATCTGAATAGTCAATTGTGAATTTTTTAAAAAAATTAATATTAAATTAAACTATTTAAATTAATTTTGTATTATTCAAATTAATAATAAAATAAATTTATTAAAATTTTTATAATTTTTTTATAATAAAAATAAAAATAAATTTTATAAAATCTGAACCGTCATATTAAAAAATTTAAACGATCCAGATGCTTATCAAGTGATAAGCACCACCAAAACAAAATCCTCGTGGGAGATACTACGAGAGGGTAGTTCAATTTTAATAGTACTCTGGATATCGAGGGCTAGAGAATTGAGCTGGTCAACTTTTCAAAGTCAAAAACTTTCATTTTTATTGACTCAGCTTTCTTTTCTTTCAGATGACCAAGATAACCAGCTGTTGGTCTTTCACGGAAAGCTCAAGGAGGACAACTTCCATGACTAGAAGGATTCTTTGTTTAATTACAGCCACCTGATTAGAGGCAGCCATATATTAAGAAATAATTTTTTTTTCCTTCCAGATTTTTGCTTTTTCAACATCACTTGAGACCTTAACCAATACTTTCAATAATTCTTCTATCCCTTCCTCTTTTATCATTCGAGACTTAAATTACTATTTTAATTTATTTGGGAGTGTGAAGTTTATTTATATGTAGGTCTCTGATTTTGGTTTCTTTCGTGTCTGGTAATTATTACCCATAAAAAAAAATATAATAGGTTTCAATAGCATCATAACTATTTTAAGATTTCCCAGAAAGGGTTTTTTTTTTTTTTCACTGTGAAGCTCCCTTTTACAATGAAATATTTGATATTGTAAGATATTTTCAATCCAATTGCATTCTTGTGAGTTAGTTAATTATATTTAAAATTATATACTCCCTCTATTTAAAAATGTAAAGTATTTTTAACATAATCTCACTTTTTAATAAAGTAGTTATTTATTTTCAGACTAACTTTATCTTTTCATATTTACCCCTATTAAACACCATACAATAAATATAAAGTTATCATCAATAAGGATACTTTAAAAAAAAATAATAATTATATCTCAAAAGATTAAAAATGTCTTACATTTTTTAACAGAGGGAGTACTCTTTTCATATTTATCAGTTTCAATTAAAAAACTTTATTACTTACACTCTAAAATTAAGGGTATTTTTTTAAAAAAATTATTAATTATGCATTAATTGTAAGACTTGAAATACTTTATACTTTTTATTATGATATTTTTTTCAAGATAACTTATAATACTGAACAAAAGGAGTAAATAAAAAAAGATTACGCTTCTTTGCCTCATAGATTCTTTTGCTTCAACAGATCCGTTCTTAATCCACTACTAGAGTGTAGAAACTATTTAGGTTTAGGTGTTTTTTAATTTATTTGTAGCTGCATGATTTTAATTGCAGCCTTAACCTTTTTTTTAAAAAAAAAAAAAAAAGCAGATCCGTTATATTTTCTTCGAGAGTCTTTTATAAGACCGGGTTATTTTATATGTACTCCTTACGCGAGAGAGGGTGGTTGCAACAAATACTCCTTCTGAGTTATTGTTTCTTGCAAGGATATTCAGAGGAGTATCTCCCTGAGAACTACAAAGCTATTGTTTCCATTTGGTGGGGAAACAAATCCACCGCATCTCACGTACCACTCTCGTGATTGATCACATGGCAAATCTTAGCCTATTTACGGTACACTGCATCTTTCATTCAGTCGAAGAAGGGCAATCAATTAACAGCTGTGTGCATCGATGAGCAATGAAGAAATTCCCCTGGCTTCTGCCCTTCCTTGTTTCGCCCAACAGTTACGTTTCACCTTTACCTTTTTTAGAGAAAGAAAATTGAACTCTAAGAAAAGCTTCCCAGGAGAAATATTGGAAAAGCTAAATCAGTTCAACGGTTTTCTTCACGCCCTGCCGCACGTTAGCTACGTGTTCAATCATGAACCTACAGTGTAATGGTTTTGTTCCATAGACCATACAGGTGGCAGCCACGCACACTCACGCGTTTAGATATTATGCACCAAAATTTAATTTGGCAGAGACCGAGGGTTAATGTATTCTTATCTAATGCTTATTATAATGTCTTAAATTTTTAATTTTATTTCTTATTTTTTTAAATCATTGAATTCTATTTAAAATAAGAGATATTTGAATATATTAAAGTTTGAAAATAGTAAAAATTTGTATTTTTTTACAATTTTTAAAAGAAAAATATTAGAATTATATCATTTTATTTTTAAAAATTATAAAAAATATAAATTTTTATCATTTTAAAACTTTAAGATATCTAAATGTCTCTTATTTTAAATAAAATTTAATAATTTAAAAAAAATTAAAAATTAAAAATATTACAATGAACATTAAAAAAAGACACATTAAAAGTACCTAGCCCGAGGCCAAGAGAGTTATGCATATTTTTAATCAGCATGTTTTTCAAGATCAATGCGAGCATTTCTCAGATCAGATTCCCCTCCCCTCGCTCTTTTCCTTTTTGCTCTCGATTAGCACGAGCATCTCTCGTCGCTTGATTCTCTTTCCTTCAAGTTTTATGCTGGATTCGTTCACACAAGTCACTGGAGTGAGAGTCCACAGGCCCAGGAAAGACCTTCGCGCCTTGTTCGGAGAGAGTATAATATATATAGTGGCAAATAAATAAGTTTAACGCCAGGCCATAGCATAGTACTAAGATATTAGGGACCAGGATCCCTCTGAAGTTGGAATAAACCGCAATAATAATCTCAAACTAAACGATGCACCTTGTCTTCCTGGCACATTACCCACCAAAATAACATTCTGTCCATCTGTTTTGCTTTATGTGATGGCAGAATATTTTTCCAAGCGCCTTTGTTTCTTTAATCTTCACCATCTTTCATGGAATCATGGTCATGGGGGAGGGGAAAGGGTACAATTTTGAAAGCTTTTTTCATGGCACATGGACTTGACTTAACGACGCTTTTACTTTTTAATGGACCAATAAAGCGGGGAAAAGCAAACTGGGAAGCCTCGGGATCAGCTGAAACAGGCTTCACGTACGTCCATGATTAAAACCTCAAAATTATGGTTAAGATAATTGCATTGTAGTTTAGGATTCACTGACGTTACCCCTCTCGAGATGAGGTCACGATTATGCCCTGAATCCCAGCGCATATTTTACCGTTGAATTCATCCCAACGACAATCCGTCGCTGTTCACTGCATTAATGAAAGCCCTTGGCCTAAAAAAAATCTCGGAAGGTGAATCCTTCTATCCACTTTTGAGCTTTTGGCTGGGATAAAGTGCTACCTGTCTCGTTGCTAAAGCCGCAATGCTGACTGGGAAGGTAGCAATAGTACGCAAGATTGAAAGCCTCCCAGTCAAGTCGCGAATACAGGTAGGCACGCGCGCGCGCGCGTATATATATATATATGTATATATATACATACGCCCTTTTGCGCAACGAGCGATATTCCATGTATAAAGATTGAAAATTTCAAAACCGCCAAGTATCAATCACTCTCCATTTGCGTGTGGGTTATTATCTGCAATCTTCATGTAAATATCGCAAATTAAACGAGAAACGGACTTTCATCTAATGGGCATAAATGGGACGAAAACGTATAGTATAGCTAATAATAAGTTCTAGGATTTAAATCTTTTGAAGCTAGAATCTATAAATTGATGTGAAGATTTAAAAAAAAAAGAAAAAAGAAAGAGAAAACTTAACCTTTTATAGAAAAATAAAATACGAAAAAAATAATAGAGAAGGAAAACTTCGATATCAACTTTAAATGATTTAAGTCCTAAGTTCTAAGCATATCAACACTTCTTTTTATTTTTTCCAGCAATGATTTCAGAAAGCACAAGTCCTGTGGTAGAGAAGGGAAAATAGGTTAGGCTTGTCCAGCCGGCCTATTTATGTCCCAATTTTATTAAGGTTGGACTTATAAATTATAGAGATTTTTTGCAATCTAACTTGAAAAGAGCCAATCCTAATAGGCTTAGTCCTAAACCATTGGCCCGTTTAAGCTTCTTTATTATATTTTTTTAATTTATTTTTAAATCTCTACTACATAAAGATTAATCTCATAAGTAGTTACTAGAAAATTGTATTTAAATGATGCTGATTTTGATGTTGCCAACTTACCGTGGGATGATTAGCCAATGTTTAAATTTAAATTGTTTGTTTCTTTAACCCTATCTTGCGTGCATTAGTATGTTTAAATTACTTGATTCATGGATTTATTATGCTTAAAAGAATAAATGTTTTGTGTATTAAGTGAAATGATATTTTTTACACTAACAAAAATAAATAAGAGTCTCAGGCCGGCTAGACTGGGCCTGAAAATTCCTAGCCCTTATATAATTTTGGGCTTTTCAGGCCCAGCCCCAGCTGTATCTTGTGACAGTTAGGTGGCGTTGCAGGAATGCGCCACGTGAACGGGAAGTGCATGGAGGCATTTAGCACCATCTTCAAAAGTAGCGCCGCTGAGTAAATTACTTTTAACTCCTCGAGATTCCGGGGAAGAGGATCGTCCTTACTTTATGGAACATGTGAATTAACTGCTGCGGTAAGATAAATAAAACTTAAACAAGCTAAGTCCGAGTCCACCAAGGCACCAACAAATGCCACCCTTGCACTGGAGATAAGAAAGTCGTATCATCCGGCCTCGCGCTTTTGACTTGGGAACTGGGAGGCAATGTGGGCTACCATCAAGATTCGCGTTGGATCGTTTCCTCTGGCGGCACTGACTGGCATGATTTTCAAAGCTTCAAGGGAAAAGCATCGGCATGCCGTCTCCAAAGAGCGCCAAGTGAGGGAAGAAGACGCAAAATTCAGGGGTGCTGGAAATGGGATCCCCAGAAAGAGAGGCAGAAGAAGAAGAAGAAGAAGAAGAAGGAGTCTCAGTGGGAGACGGTAGAGGGACGTGGAAGCACGCAGCTTTCCACGTAGCCACCACTATTGCCACCCCTGCTGCTTACGCTCCTCTGCCCTTTGCTCTCGCTTCCCTTTCTTGGCCTCTCGGTTTGTTCCTTTTTCTTACTCTTCTCTCTCCCCTTTCCCTGCTATTCAATATCAATTATTATCTGTTGCTTCATCTTACATTATCAAACATATAATAATAACTCGTTTACAGGAAGCACTTAAAAATAAACAAGTCAAGAACGAAACAAGATATATAAATCTATCTATTTACTCCGTAATTAATTATATCCAATTATATCTATTTACTCCGTAATTAATCAAGGATAATAAAGTACTTCTTACATTAATTTTTTGTGCAGTTTCAGTCCAATGGAGATTAAAATCATTTTTATAAATGTTTTCATCGATCAACATATTGCAATGTATTAATAAGATAATAAAACTTATAACAAGCTACCCTGTTTAATTTATAACTCATGAATAATACGTTTAATTCTTTCCAAATTCAAATAAAAATTGTCCCCTTTTAACTTCCAGATGAGGCGAATATTAAGTTTTTTAAAAACAGAAATCTCAGCTTGTCAAGGGGTTCAGCTTTTTATAGTTGGGTCTTCTCAAAATTTATGTAAAATAATCTTGAGCGATCTAATACAGTTGACGAACTCTCATCGTGTCGAAATCCAATTGAATGCCTTTGATGTTTAGTTTGCCGACGAACTCTCTGAGTAGCTGCTTTTTGTTGATTTTAGGCGTGACTAGCCTGGTGATTGCAACGCTAGCTACCTGGTACTCGAGTATATTAATCGCTTCTTTATGGAAATGGAATGGGGAGAAGCACCTTACCTACAGACAACTTGCGCGCGGTATTTTCGGTTGGTATTATATTGTATAGCATCCTCTCAGTCACTGTGAACATCGTTAATGGAGTTCTAGCATCTCGGTGAGGAAGAAGAACACGGCACATAATGAAGGCAGGCTTGTGAAATCAAACTGAAGACATGAGCCTCCATTCATTCATTGCTGCCTTGGCTGATGCATGACAAAAATTTGTGCAGATATAGAGCAGTTGTTTCTATAATGTTAAAAATTCAAGTAATAAAAGGTTTACTTTCGCTGCTGTTGATGTCCTTGATGATAATACTCTTAATTTTTTATTTTTGAAGGTTCCTGGGGGTACTGGTCTATTGCCTTGTTTCAGCAGGTAGCTTCTCTGGGAAACAACATTGCCATTCAAATTGCTGCTGGGAGCAGCCTTAAGGTTGGCGCATGCATCTAATCATGTTTTGTAAAATGCTACCTGTTTAAATGGTTTTACGCTTCTGGAATTTTATTTCATGCATATACATCGCGCAGGCAGTTTACAAACACTATCACAAGGATGGCGCATTGACTCTGCAGCATTTTATCGTGTTCTTTGGACTCTTTGAGCTTGTCCTCTCCCAGCTCCCTGACATCCACTCGCTAAGATGGGTTAATGCATTTTGCACTTTCAGCACTATTGGATTTGCTGCTACAACCATTGGTGTCATTATTTATGATGGTGAGTTAAAGCTACTGGGTGGTGAAAATTTTCTATTCTTTTCCCGTCACAATTTCAAGACACTGACATGGCAGCTTTCTTGATCTCGACATCTATCAGGGAAGAAGATGGACAGAACATCAGTGAGTTACAGTTTTCAGGGCAGTTCTGCCTCCAAGTTCTTCAAGGCCATCAATGCCCTTGGGGTCATTGCCTTTTCATTCGGAGATGCAATGCTTCCAGAAATACAGGTACCTATTGACTCTTCTTGTCTTCTCTCTATTGGTTTGCCGGCGGTCAAGTTCTGAAATTGTTCAAATTTTAATCTCTATCTCATGCTTAAACTATAAAAGAGCGATCATTAACTACCTATCCCTTTCTAGAACACAGTGAGAGAACCAGTAAAGAAGAATATGTACAAAGGTATATCAGCAGCATATAGCGTCATTGTTTTGAGTTACTGGCAGTTGGCCTTCTTTGGATATTGGGCTTTTGGATCAGAAGTTCAGCCTTACATCTTAGCTTCGCTGTCTAATCCAGAATGGACTGTCATTATGGCTAACCTGTTTGCAGCAATCCAAATATCAGGATGCTTTCAGGTACTGCCTTTGGCCAATGGCCACTTAGTTCATAAATAGCAGGTGTTAATCTGGAACGGTCCAAAAGACCCTTCTAATGGAGTTCCCTTGATCATATGTCAGATATATTGCAGGCCGACGTATGCCTATTTTGAGGAAAGAATGGTGTCCAATCATGAATCTAGAAACCATTTCTCGACAAGAAGCCGCCTTGTAAGGCTTTGTTTTACTTCTATATACACGGGCCTTGTGACTCTGATTGCTGCAGCTATGCCCTTTTTTGGGGACTTTGTGTCAATATGTGGGGCTATTGGGTTCACTCCTCTAGACTTTGTCTTCCCTGCTTTAGCCTACCTCAAGGCAGGAAATATGCCAAAGAACACCAAAATTAGGGTTTTAATGCAGCTTCTGAATGTTTTTTTAGTTTTCTATTTCTCCATTGTGGCTGTCCTGGGTTGCATAGGAGCTATTAGATTTATAGTGGAAGATGTCAGCACCTACAAGTTTTTCCATGATATGTGAAAGCTGTTTCCCTGCTGCATTCTGCTGATACAGTTGTTCTTTCACAAACGAAGCCTGTAAAATCATTCCACTATCTGGAATCTTATGTTGCCTTCAAGGCTTTAATGCGTTTGATTGCTCTCATACGATTGTTTGGGTCCTAAATGAAAGTTATAACCAGATTTTCTGAAAAAAGGGGGAAAAATGTACACAACAGACAGTTGTACTGAAAAAACATTGTTTAAGAAAATGATAGATCTGCAATCGATATTTTAAAATCGAAATATCGGTCGATTCAAAACTTCGAATTGAAAATACACCGATATTAAAATTACTGTCAAGTAATCCCCCCCTCCCAAAGTACTGTGAGGTAATTTACGATCGATAATTTATTGAAAATAATATTATTTTTTATTTTTTTAAAATATAAATATATTTTATTTTGAAAAGTCTGAAAAAATCCTTCTTTTTTTCATCCAATAAATTCTGCGAACAAACCTGCCAAGTGGCGACATGTCAAGCGGAGACAGACACCGTGGGAGCCACTCCACTTCACTTTATTAAACCCGTTCGACGACGATAAACTGAACGACATTGCGGTCCTTCTTTCTGAGTTCTACGAAACGACGTCGTTGATGCCCTCTCAAGTTTCACAGTTGGCAATTGCTGTCAGTTAAATTAGAACCTCCCTAAAGCCGAGCGCTCCAGCTTCTTCCTCCCGCTCACTAATGGCTGTAACTTCTCTTTTTTAGGGTTTCAATTTGTCTGTGCTAAATTGATTTTCGAGCTTTGCACTTCGGTTTTGAATTTCATTCTCTTTATGTCTTCCACACCAATGTCTAATTACAGCTCGCTTCCTTCAACCTCCTATACCGCTGGTTCTTACTTCAGTGCACGCGTCAAGACCACAGCTCAATCCATTTTCACCAAGCGCCGCCCATGGGAGGAGGTCTTCGCTCTTTACTCCTTCAATCGTCCTTTCACCTTTGGAGAAGCCACCATGCGCATAAAGCGCAACCTCAGTCACTTCCGCGTCAATTACGCCCTTATTGTTCTCGTAATTCTCTTCCTTAGTCTTCTCTGGCACCCGATATCGATGATTGTCTTCTTGGCAGTATTTGTCGCCTGGTTCTTCCTCTACTTCTTTCGGGACGAACCAGTGATGGTTTTCAATCGCCAAATTGATGATCGGGTGATTATGCTTGCGCTTGGGTTGGTGACCATTGTGGCCTTGATTCTCACTGGCGTCTGGTTGAATGTCCTGGTTTCTATTTTGATTGGGGCAGCAGTTGTTGGATTGCACGCGGCGTTGAGGAGTACAGAAGATTTGTATGTGGATGAGCAAGAGGCCTCCGATGGAGGGCTCCTCTCAGTTGTAGGTAGCCCCCCCAAGCGAACAGGATACACCAGGGTTTAGGTTTTTCTTTTCTTTTTTTCAGTTGTGGGTTCGCTGGATTGGGGAGCTTCACGATTTAAATAGGATAAAGTGTTGTGCAATCCTGCTGGCACGAGTGATAAAAACTTGCTATCGTTGTTTTTCATATAGTTGTCTGGATAGGGTAACCGTTTTGCAGTTTGAGTTCCAAAGCAATGTGTACCTTGATTTGAGAGGTTTGTTTTTGTGATAGAATCAATCATCTCTTCTTTTTATTACTCATTCATTTGGCGCGTCTCAAATTTTTTCCCTCTCTTGTACAGATGGGTTTGGATTTTTGCTTTTGATTTTGAGCAAACTTGGATGGGTCCATAGTTCTTTTAAGAGTAAATTATTCTAGTTCTTAATGGTATGTATGTCCGGCGCATTATTATGCATATCCAGTGCCTTTGGTGCTCCAAAGCATGGGAGAACACATGTTCCACCCTGGCGTGACCTATAATATTTGCAGTGCTTTATGGGGGCAGAGCATGTGAGTTTTTGGGTAGCCCTATTTGGAAATGAGAAGCAACTGTTGCTGAAAGAAGCGAGTGGAGAAGTGAGAATAGCTGCTTTCGTAAAAACTACCAAAAGCTAGTACTATTTCCATTATGGTTCTACAAGTGAATCTCGTGCCTTTGAAGATGCAGTTTTCGAGACTTTCATGTTTTTCCAGTTGTAACTGCCATACTGAAAATTACAAGACTTGTTTTGATATCTGTCTTGTACTTTTTTGTGACACAAATCTGTCTTGAGACTTGTTCATACAAGTATTTCTAATATATTTATAAGACTTGTTTTGTAATAAATACAATATAGGATTCTTGTACTTTATGTGTGCGTCACTGGTGAAAATTAAAAGCGCCACAAGTGATAAATTTGAGGATTAGATGGTAGAAGTTTAAAGGTGAGAAACAGGAATTTTTTTTAGCGAATTTGACTGAAGGAATTTGAAAGTCTAAAAGAAATGTTAGTATTTTATGAGAAGATATAGTTAAGAATGAAAGAAAGGTTGTTAAAGAAGTTTTAGGAGAGTTAAAAAGTTTTGGTTTAAGAGGTGAGAAGTTTTAATAGTGGAATAATAATATACAGGAAAAAGTTAAACATAAAAAGAGTATTTTAAAATTATTCATTTATGTAATAATGATGAAAATTAAGAAATGTGTCATATGGTTAAAAAGAAAACTAAGAAAGTTGTGAATGAAATTCATTTTAAAGCATTTGAAGAATTTTGTAAGAGTCTTAAGATAAAAAATGAAGGACGAAAAATTTAAAAGATGAGAGCAAGGAAGGAAAATCAAAAGATTTAGGACAAGTAAAGTGTATAAAGGATGAAGAAGGAAAAATTTTGGTTACAGGTGGTGAGATTAAAGACAAATGGGATACTCAATTTTACAAACTTTTCATTAATGGAGAGAGCTCATATAGTAACTTGGAGGGTTTAGTAACTCATGAAAGAGATGAAAATTTGTTATTCTATTAAAAGATACGCGATAGTGAGATGAATGATGCTCTTAAAAAAAATGACAAATGGTAAAGTCATGGACTTAGTTTTATTCTTAATGAAGTGTGGAAATGTTTAAATGAAGAGGGGTGCTGTGGCTATCTAATTTATCTAATGAGATATTACGGTTTAAAAAAAATGCCTGATGAATGGAGGTGAAGCACATTAGTTTCTATTTACAAAAAATAAAAGGAATATTCATAATTATGCAAATTACAGAGGAATTAAATTTATGAGTCATACAATGAAATTGTAGGAAAGAGTGATTGAAAATAGGTCAAGATTGGAGACTAGTATTTTCGAAAATCAATTTGACATCATGTTAGGTAGGGCGACTACATAAGCGATTTATCTACTAAAAGAATTAATGAAATAGTATCGATGCAAAGGTGAAGATTTACATATGATTTTCATTGATTTGGAAAAAAGTTTATGATTATGTACCAAGAAAAGTACTTTGGAAAATCTTGAAAAAGAAAGAAGTTCAAGTTGCCTATATTAAAGCTATATAAGATATATATGGGGTAACAACTAATATAAGAATATCTAGCAATGAAACAAAAGATTTTTCTATAAGAATTGGACTACATCAAAGATAATTATTTTTGAATTCTTATTTGTTTGACCTGGTCCTATATGTTTTAATTGAGCATATTTAAAAGAAAATCCATAAATGTATGCTTTTTGTAGATGATATAATTTTTATTGTGAAGACAAGAGAAAAAATTAAATATAAACTTGAGTTATAGAAGAGGATATTAAAGTTGAAAAGTTTTCACCTAAGTAAGAGTAAAAATGAAATATTTGCATTGTAATTTTGATAAAAAGTTAGTTAGTAATAATTTAAAAATAAAATTAAGATATCAAATTATACCTTAAGTAGAAAAATTTATATATTAGGAAGCCATTATTTAATATGATGGGATGGTATAAGATACAAGTTGAATGGTTCAATTAGAGTAAGGTTAAAGGAGTTATTTATGATCGAAAGTTACCTAATAATTCAAAGGAAAGTTTTATTGAATTGCTATAAAACTAGTTATATTTATGGTAATGAATATTGGTTTTAAAAGGATTGCAAGAGCATAAAATTAAAATAGCATAAATGAGAATGTTGAGATAGATATGCAGTCATACACATAAAATGGTCATATACAAAATAATGGTGTAGAATCTATTGAAGGAAAAATCATAAAAAAATCATTTAAAATGGTTTGGACAAGTATAGACAAGACTGTAGGAGGCACGGTGAGGAGAGTAAAACAAATAAGTTTAAACCTTATAAAGAGGGGTAGATGAAGGTTAAAAAGAATACTTATGAAAGTTGTTAACTGAGAGCTATTAGTTAACAACATCATTAAGTTTGGTGAATAATAGAGAAAAATGGTGTAATGCAATCTATGTAGCCAACTTCACCTAATGAAATAAGACTTCTTATTGTTGTTGTCGATGTAAAGTTTATTTTCCCTAAACCTTCCTCCCCGCCCAAGGGGGGCCCACGTGCTTTTATTATATGTTACCTTTTGTCATAATGGGCTTATTGGCTAGAAATAAATGGCCACTTTTTTTTTTCCTTGGAATACAAGGCCACTGCATAATCATGCAAAAGAGACAAAATAAAGTTATGTCCAAAACCATAAGGTTTCTATGATCAAGTGGGGGATTATCAAAAAACCTAATGTCTAAGTTATCCTAAGAAGACTAACGGGCTAAAAAATCAGCACATCTATTAATTTTTATAAACATGATCAAAATAACGACTCAGTATTTTATAATAATATCTCTAATGTTCTTGATGATGTCAAAAAATGAGTATCCTTTAGAAAAGTTGTGCTCAATGAGAGATATGGCTTCTATAGAATTTGATTATATACCGACCTTGTAAAATTTAACATTCCAACAAAAATTGACATCTTTAAGAATCCCCATAAATTCAGCTACCATGTTAAGGTAAAAACTCAAGTATTTAGAAAATCTTTTATTCAATTACCCTCATTATTCCTGATGATACCTCCACAAGCGGTAGCATCATTAATATTGGCAGATCAATCGATGCCAAGTCTAACCCGTCTTGCAGTTGGAGGTCTCCATTTAGCTTCATATCTGACTTTTCCTTGGCTTGATGTAGTTGATTGTAGTTGAACGGCCTCTTTGCAAATGCATAACTTGGAAGTTGTAGAAAGTTCGAGATCATGCTTTACACCGACAAAAAGATCGTGCTTCACAACATATTTGACATAATTCTTTTTTGGGTCATATCATCACGTGATTTGTTCTCCGTTCAATGTAAAACAGACGTCTTTTGGGGATGGCTGAAGAAAAGCGGTGACAGTATGGATCTATGGGATGATGGCATGATTTCCTCCTTAATTCAGCACAAACAATCTGCATATTTATAATGGGGGAAAATCCTCTGAATTCAAACGTCACTTAAAATACAAGAAATCATCTGCTGCAGTCAAGTATGGAACCTGTATCTATGACTTGGATATCTAAGAAATGTAGCTTGATGTCAAGTGTACAATCGCGAAATAGTTGGAAGAAATAAAGAGCGAATAAAAAGGAAAGCAAACCGTCGAAAAATCAGACTTCGGGAATGCCATGCTACGCTACGTTGAGACAGGAAATGTGTTCATTATCCACCATGATGGTGTTGCTGTTGGCAACATAGTGACAAGATTTGGAGGCTAGGAAGAGCCGCATGCGCTAAATTTAAAGATAGAGATTTAGACATAATGGTAGAAGCAGATCAAGGGTGTGGAACTTTGCGCGTATATGCTAGAACCATTACAAATTCCTTTGCCGAGGACCCAATCGTTGCTGGAATTCGCTGTGTCGTAGATGCAGTCTGCAGCCACAAGTCAACCAAACTACATAGCTGCAGCGTAGGGACCACTGGCTGCCCCATGCATTTAATCTCAACCTGCAAAACAGAGTGATGAGCAACATGGAGCTTGTGAATAGCATCATTAGTCTGTTTAAGCATTAATGATAAGCAAGGCATTTCTTCCTCTCAGCAGCGCCAAAAACCATGGAAGAGAAATTCATTTTGGGTTCCTACCATGAATTTTGACCTTTCAAGAATTAAAGAACTTCAGATGCAGTTCAACTGCTTTTCCATTTGAAAACATTCCGTATTCCCTATCAGCATCTCATGGTCTAGAGCCTTATGTCTCACTTTTTTCCATTATTCTTGTGTTTCCGGACTATGCTATAACTCCGAGGGTTTACACTTACATATTACAACATACCACTTGTTTAACTTGGTTTCCCTGTATCTTCTCATTTAGGCAGCCCTTGGGACAGTAACGAGATGAATATGTACCACATTAGTTGGCAGTAGGCATTTGAGGTGGCAAGCGAACCAAAATTAATATTGAGAAAGACCAGTTATGATTAATGAATAGGAAGATACTTCTATAAGCTGCAAGTTATATGGATATGAGGACATGGTTTGCAACAATGTAACGTAATGAATGGATAAGGTCAGCAGAAAATACTTAAACGACATTTGAATTGTGAATAATCCATGGAAGCAGACAATGTTGTAAACTATGCATGACAAGAACCAAACATATAGATATATTACAGTATGAGGGAATCACCTCAGTTTCACTGCTCAGGTCTAGTTTCTTCATTAGATATTTTTGGATAAATGACACAGGTAAACTTCCATCCCTGTGGCAAACAAAAGAGAGCATGAGATATCATGACAGCCAAATACCATACTCTGGTTTAGTTAGATTATATCTCAAGAAGTGTCAGCGGTGGCAAATATACGGCAAAAACGTTTCTTGGACAGAACCCCCCTCATATATTACTAATCTAAAACTATTTAGTTAATTCATGTGTGCCGTAACAACTAACAGCTGGGCATGCATATATCTCTGTTCGTGTAAACTTCACACACACACACACACAAACAAGCGTGCGCACATAAAACTGATTGACAATGAGAATGGTAAGTATAGAATCAGAATAACAGTCACAAATCCTTGCCAAAGATAAGAACTGAAATAAATTATTCCTTTGATATGTAATCAACATTCATGATCAAGACAGCTGATGAAAACAGGAAAAGTCACACATGAGCAGAGTCACAGATTTAGCTTCTTCAGGTATTTCTGGGTGAATTCATTTGACTGCAGGACCACTTTATTCAAAAAATGGGAAGGATAATTCTATGAAACTTAAGATAATATTCATATAATTACTTCACATTCCTTCGCTAAGAAAATAAAATTGTATTAAGAATCCATGGAGGTCATATGCTACAATTATTGGGGGAAAAAGTAGATCTATATCATTTTAGAATCCTTGAAAACATACACTTCATCTCCACACAGAAGGAAAGTAGATCTATGGAGACTAGTTGTATGATAAAAGAATATGGCAGGCAACAGTCCCCATGACAGGATGAAAGTTAGAAGATGAAGGTCGTTAAAGGTTACAGTAACACGCACAAACAAGAAGGAGATGCCCTGGCCTAAGACCTACCCCGTTATCTGTGACAGGGGATTGAATAATGTGTGAGCTCTGGAAAATAAATGCAGATGAGTGATTTTTAAAACTCACATCGAAAATGAATATTTTCAGGAAAAATTGGAGATGACAACATTAGGCTACTTATCTTTATACGTGCAAGTTGCACAACAATCTTAAAATATACAACAGAGAGCTCAAACTGAAACCCAATAGAATTTCGTCTGATTTTCTAAGTCCTACACCAACCTACTCCCATGACTTTCCAGTTAGATGTTCATCAGGTAGGAACATATAAATTTGGACATTACATAAAGAAGAGAAAATTAAATAGAAAAAACAAGTCCATGTCAAGGAAACAATTATCCTAGATACCGTTGATGAAATTAAGAAGAAGCACAACTAGTTGAGTCAAAGTTGTTACCTCCTTTTCTGTTCAATTGAAAATTTTACATGAAAATTAGCCTATGGATATACACCTAACATGAAGATATATCTTTATCAATAGACACAGTTAAAAAACTCAAACATTTACTATTTAATAATGTGCAAGATCATACATCTAATCAGTATTTTTCTTTTATTATATTTCAAAACATGGAATAAATTAAACTAGAACATTGAGACAAAGATGTATTGAGTCTAAAAGAACTCACTTTATTCTTAAATAACTTGCAGGAATTTGGGGCACAGGTGTGTCTCCTTCCCTGAACATTAGATTCAAATTAGTATATGAAAAGCATTTTTAAAAAAAGAATTCATAAGACATTTATAATATGCATCAAATTTAAGTCATCAGATATAAGGTAAAGTTTTAAAGCTATGTTTTCTAACTGATCTTCAGAAGCTACTAAGGCAAACCAAAGTGGACCAGTTCTCCTTTTGAATGTAGCACTGTTTGCATCCAGAACAGCTTGAGGTGATATGCCTGGTTCTCCAAAATGATGTTCCCTTTTACGACGAACTTTCCGCAATTTATTAGGCTTTACTGTATTTAAAGAGAGAGGATCAATGTCAACTTTTTCATTCTCAACTTTCGCTTTGCGCTTATTCTCTTTATTTTTGGATTTTTGCCCTTGAGTGTCGTTTTCATTTATTTGCACAGGTTCTAGTTTGGCATCAGACCCTTGCACACTAGACTTGAAAGATTTACTCCTACTTGCCACTTCTACTAAACAATTCAAAGGTTTCCAAAGATCCAATTTTGCTTCCCATGGTTCCGCTCCATCATCTTTTTCTTTGGTGTGTAAGGATTGGCTAGACTCAAGAGGGGGCAAACTCTGCACCAGATAGAAAACAGAAATAATATAATTAAATTGATAGATACCATCAGGTAAAACAAATGGACCAAGCCAATAAAAATATCAAGGGAAACAGACACCCCTAACAAGGAAAATCTCATTGTCTCTCCTACCTGTCTGGTATTCTGAGTAAACTTGTTCACAGTGTCTGGCGAGCTTGAACTCTCTGTATGATCTTCTACTGATTCCTCTTTTTTTACAGGCTTTTCAATGGGAAAACTAGAGGCTCGAAGACCACTGGCCTTTCTAGTAGGTTTTGTTCTTCTCCCAGTCATGGTTACCTGTGTTGATACTCTGGGAGTGATGACAACCAAAGATGAAAGCGATCTCTCCTTTCTTCTTGCTGGTATTGTTATAGAGGGAAAGGCCTCAGGTGTTTTGCCTTTCTTCTCTTCAAAGGGAAAATTTTAGCTCTTACATCTTGTAAATTATGGTCTGGCCTGGTAATCAAAAGGACTAGAAGTGAGCATGCAACAGTGCATAGCTTGACCTTCATTAGCCATGCATTTTCTGTTATTTATTTTGCTTTAGCTGTGGGCGTTATTATAGAAGGCTTACAAGTGGTTACTCAGAAACAATCTGTGAAATCTATAATCACAGCAGGATCAATTTAAAATAGAAATCTGAGCATCTCTGATAAGATAATTACAAGTAAAGATGGGCACAAAAGTATTCAGCTTCATCGATGATTCATATAACAACAAATACAGAATGATAATGCATTTAATTTAGAGAAAATTTTCTACTTTTATGCTAATCCTCCTTACTCAGTGCAGCAATTAATAATTCAAGAGAAAATTTATTTGCGATTAGGCTGCAACTAATTACACATCATGTGCGTCCTTAATTTTTCTATATCAGATACCATAAATGAAACGCCAATCAGGTAAGCTCTATATCAGATACTATATGTAAAGAGGGCTACAGCCGGCTAAATTATTATAGAAAATGAAACTCAATGGATGTTACAGTTATGGAAATTTTCTTGCATGCAAGTTCACAAGCACGTTACTATGGAAAGTTGCTCATGCAGAAACTGGATTCTTGTGCAGTAAATTTTCATAAATTCAATGTAATTCACGTAATCTTATCTTGATAGCATCATAATAGCATTGACAGTTGTCATTCTTGCATGTTGATGAACCATTACAGTTTAGTGATACCTGGTTGGTTAGAAACACCTTATTCAACAACTTGCACCCATGTTGAAGCCAGACCGGTGGTGCATTGTTATTTACATTAAGGGTTACAAAAGATATGTGTAAAGGGAAGCTCAGGAGTCTATCAAAGTCAGGTGGCTGACCTTAATTTCTCAAGCGGAACACAACCCAGATCAATATTACAGATTGGACACTGTTCTAATTCCTCATCTGTAATTTTATCATAGATGCATTTCCTGCAAACTGAATGAAGTTATACCGTATCAGAAAATCATGTTCAAGTAGTTAGTCAGTTATGAAATATAAAAAGAAATATAAGTTTGACATATCACATAACATGACAAAACTCTTAAATAAATATTTCTGCAACCTCCATGAGAAAACCCTTGGGGCACAGTTACTTCATAAAGTCCTCATAACATTGGACAAAAAATCAGGCACTGGAATGCAAGTAAATTGACTCCTTGGATTGGATGAATTTTGCCAGCTAAAACCACATTAGAAAGTAGAAAAAGAAAGAAAACTCTGGATAGAGGAAGATTAGTCAAACTGTACTGCAAAAATGTCATTCTCCCAGTCGATGCTCACAGCAGCCTCTGTTTGCATGTTACGATTTCGCCAGTGAAGAGGATTCTCGGGAAGTTGACCACAAAAGATAACCAATTTCCCGGCCGATAAAGTTTAAATGATAAACAATAATCACCTGGAGATCTATTCTCCGATGGTCAAGACGTACGTAGATGGAAATTGCAAACTATGCTCGCTGCCACCCCACGGCTGCCTGAGCTAAAATTCAAGCTTTCAAGTATGAACACGAAACACTTCAAGTGCCAAACTGCCTGAGCTAAAATCCAAGCTCTCAAGTCTGAACACGAAACACTTCAAGTGCCACACTGCTTGAGCTAAAATCCAAGCTCTCAAGTGTCAAAGGTTCAAACACCTTTACACCAATGACAGTAATGGAACAGCGTCACTGAACATTAATTTAAACCCCAAGGCTTCTTCTGCCATTCATGTCGCTAAAGACAAGACATCGGCGAGTGGAGGGAAAGACAAAGGCGTACAGAGGCATTAAATTACCAAACACCCGCAGCCGATTAGGCAAATACCTCCCATATCGAGAAGAGAAAATCAAGGACAGCCAAGAGCGCGAAGATTACAAGATGCAGGAAGATTCGATATTTGAGAAATTAACCTCTAATTGATGTAAAAAAAACAGGATTTGAAGGGATAAAGCGAAAATTGAAGGACTCACACGTATGAAGGCACTCAGATATGGTGGTGGCGTCTCTGAACAACTTGTTGCAAAGTGGGCAGGTCATGCATGCTACAATCGTTTCCCTCTGAACTTTGACTACCTGATTCGCCATCGTTTCTTTATCAGCCCAATCCGTCCCCTCTCGTCCACGTATCATCCACTCAGTGCATGCTATCGGGACGCGCGTACGCAGCTAAAATTTACGTCCATCTCGTTATAATCACTTGCATTAACCTGAAGAACACAACAACCCAGAAAGATAACGAGGGACGAGGGACGAGAAAACGCAGAATAAAATGCATATGACGAGTGCGTAGAATGAAGAAACGTACCAGCAGATCGGTGAAGATGGTTAAAGACAGGTGCTTGAGAATTTTGGGGCGTTCCTGTAAAATGGGTGGGTTTGATTTGTGAAGATTCGACGTGGATTTGGACGAAGGGAGTTTCGGGTGATCTGAATCGAGGGAGGGCGTCTTCGTTTCGTCCAAAAGAGCATGAATCGGGAGTTTGTGCGAGAGTGTGCGTGTTTTCTTTTTCTTAAAGAAGTTTTCAAACAAAATATTTAAAGACACCTTCGATAGTCCAACTAACGACAGCTAGAGTTATGGGTAGAGATAACATGCGCCGAGAGTGCTTTTGGTTTCGAAGATGCGCACTGGGTTCCGTGTCCTGGAAGGTCAATTTCGCGAGTGGTGCCGTCTAAAAGGTGTCCTGCCAGTAAATGCAAACCCTTCCTTCATTTAAGATATTAAGTGGATTATATAACAAAAACAGATTGTTCGTTAACTAAAAAAAAAAAAAACCGTTATTCATCCCTATCATGCATATTACATATCAATATATCAGTCTATGTAAGAGTCATGATAATATTTATATTTAATAATAACTTATTTTTTCAAGTACTCTAAACAATAGACAGACTTCATCTTTAGAGAGTGAAAAAGTGGAATGTAAAAAATTATTAATAAGTTATTCTTTTTGTTAGTTACCTAGGTAAGGACATGGGAAAATGAGCTGACTCTCGAAGAGCTCAGGTCTAAAAGTTCTGTTACTCAAACCTCATCGTTCGCCAGGTTTGATCCTTGAGTCCGCAGGCTTCTGACTAAGCCTTGATTTAGGCCTGTTAAATTTTTTCTTTTAAAATAAATACATGTAACTAAATTAAATTAAATTATAAATAATTAAATATTAGCCAATTAAAATATCAAATCATTGTTCAAATTTCCAAAATCAAACCAAACAAAGTTAAATAAACTAGACAAATCTTTTTCAAATGTAAATAATACTCCAACATAAGTAGCACCAACTTTTCTTATTTAGTCCAGGCTTTTCTTTTTTTTTTATATATTCTTAAACATTTTCATTCCTTTTTTCATATTTGAAATATCTCCCTTCTCATGTATCAAATAACAATAATTTTTTAATAATATATATATACACGAGTTCGTCAAGGGCCAGTTCGTTTATTTGTTAACCTATTAAAGCTAGACTGTTTGATTAACTTTTAGTGCACTTGAGCCTTAAGCCTAGCCATCCATTTAAATGGGCCAACCCGATGGTTCAAACCATTTTCTTGAGTCTGCCTGAGCCCTGAAGGCACTCTCTTTTTTTTTTTTTTTTTGTAATATATATCATTTTGAATTTTAATTTTCAATCTCCATCGCTTGCCAGTTGTCACACAAAATGCACGGAAAAAAAGTCAAATATCAAGAAAAACTCACATCCTTAAATCAATTAATATAACTTTTCCCCTACAATTTATGTACTGTGTAAATTAACTTATTTTTCATACTCCATAAAAAAAAAAAATCAGATTCTCACGCTTCACCAGTGATTTATTTATCATACTCTAATAACATGATGGGAAACCTGTTTAATTGGTGTAACGGGATATTTGCAGGCGAGACAAGACTAAATTATCAAACTCCATTAATGAAAGTACCTGCATGTATTATTGATTAATCATCTTTAAATTGTTAAAACAAAAACAAATAGTAATTCAAACTTGTGGATTTAATTAATAGACCCACTCCCTCTTTAATGATTTTATTTACAATACGATGAAGTGATGTTGTTCAGAATCATCGGAGCTTACGTACTGTGAACGTGGTGGAGGGGGTCTTCTGTCGATTATATGAATTGCACTTGAAAATGATGACAAAGTTTTATAAGGGAGGGAGATAAAAACCCATCGATATCTTTGTTGTGTTCTATATATATATATATATATATATATTGAAAAAGAGTTTTGCTTTGCTTGTGTTCACTATTGTCGGGAGAGTGCAAGATACACTCTGATCAACGATTTGCCAACTTAATTATGCATGTAATTAATTAAAGTTAACTCTTTTTTTGCCAATTAATTCGTCAAAGAAAAGTAAACTAATTAAATTAAATTAACCCCGTAAAATTCACGAAATATTGGATTGCACATAAAAAGGAGAACAATTTTACATGATCAAACGATTTTGTTTATCGTAATATATTATATATTCATATATCGACCAACTTTCAAGTGCATGGCAATCATCGTCGGGTAACATCGGCATAACACATGACATTTATGAAAGATCATGTTATTTATAAGTTATAGATAATGTGGTTTTGTTTAATGATATATTGTGCCATGTAATGTAACAAGGCCGAGCATATGTTTGTTCCTTAAAAAAAAAAAAATAACAAAAGGACAGCGACAATACAAAACGAACCACAGCCACTGTCATTCGCTGCGCACGCGAACAAATTACTTTGGACAATTTTTTGTTATTTGCTAGTTACAAAAAATTTGGTCCAACATTATAATGTAAAAAATCATTAATCCAGGTGCTGTACTTCCTTTAAAAAGAAAAAGAAAAAAAAAAGAAACTAAAAACTTAATCGTGTGCTGTTAAATTTATCCGAAGGAATGAAGGGACGCCCCTGATTTTGTTTTCTGCAAATAGGCAAGGGTTTTTTATGTGCCATCAAATATTCAAAGAGCGATGCCTAATTTCCAAGCATTAAGCTGAAAGATAAAAATATTTTAAAAGTTTTTTGAAAAAAGCGCTGAATATCTTAATCTTTTAATTAAAGCAATATTATCCCAAAACTTTAAAAAAAAGTACAATGTCACCTCAATATTAATTTTGACTATTAAATAACTCAATTTGTTAGTCAAATGCCACATCTGGCATTTTAAAAAACTACAAAATTAAAAATGCCATCTTTTTCTCTCATTTTGTCCTCTGTTGCCCAACTCTTAATCGCACAAGGTTTTGTTCATCTATTAATGATCTATCACACCCAATTTACATACCCATCAAAAGCTCAATTTTCTCTTTTTTTCCTCTAGCAGTGCAGCTCATATGCCCCTGCGAGTTCATTTCCCCAAAGAATGAGCAAGTACACTCAAGTTTTTCACTTTTATGGTGGAATGTTTATATAGATTTACATTAATTAACAGGCTTAAACATATTAATCTTTATGATTTTATGTAGACCATAATAGATGGATCACATGAGTGAACCTAATAAGCAGAGACCCAATTTATAATTCAATAGCCGTCAGTTATTTCTTATCTTTTAACTGACCGAGTTAAAGATAATAGAATATAATTATTTAATTATTTAATAAATAGTTATTGATCTAATCTTTATAACTCGATCAGTCAATAGTCGCCAACATACGATACATTTTCTTTTACTCTATTATCTCTGCATTATCTAAAGACCTTGGGGTGTCTGTCTACGCTCGAGGTGATTGAGGTATCTCTAATAAGTAATCATAGATTCTTCAGATATGCACAAATTACTTTATTCTATCGTATTTGATCATATATGAATTGAGATATTAGAACTAATATTTTACGCATACTAGCCATCATCAAAAAGATTGCATGCATCTTTAAGTCTGCCAGCTCTGCCAAAAATGAATATCAATGAGGAATAAAAGCCTGTAGCTTATTTGATGATCTGTGCTTTTAAATTTGATTTGGCACTAGAGTTTTTTTGAAAAATTTTCAAGCTTTTACCATACTTTCAACCATATAAATATTACATCAAAAATATATCAACCATCTAAAGCATTTGCTTGTGTATTTAAAAAAAATGAAGGTTGCAATAAACAGATAGAAAATAAAGTTGCCATAAATTGATATAGTCTTACAAACAGGTTTTTGGAGAAGCCTCAACAACTTTCAATGTCCGGACCATCGTTGGAGGAGACAACCTAGAGAGAGAACACCTGTTCAAAGCTCTCATCATCCTATAAATTCAAAGCCTCAATCTCGACTCCACATCTCGACTACCCAGTTCACTAGAGCTCATTTGTGAGGTTTTTCTTTTTTTGGGCCAGTGTGTCCAAACTCATACCATTAAACTTGCAACTTGTGAATTTTTCAATCAAGACAAGTGATTTAATGGTCAAAATAGATGGAAGTTAATATTAGGACAATATTGCACCCTTGTTTTAAAAATTTCGGGAAAACATTGTTTTAAATAAAAAATAAGGATACTCAATACTCCTTTCATAAAACTTTTGAAATATTTTTGTCCCTTAACCCTCAAGTATTTAATGAATTTTTGTTTTCTTTTCTAATTTTTAATCATAGTTCTGTTCTGTAAAAAGATTTACCATGCGGCAGGAGAAATAGCGAGGATTTTCAAGCCAAGATTTAAATATTCTCGAGTTGAAATCCGTAAAATTCAGTAAAAATTTTCCTTTTAAGTATTTTTTTTATTATTTCATTAATTTTTTATAAAATATAAATATTTTCTCTCTTTTTTTAAAAGACAAACTATATTGAAATTTAAATATCCCAATTTTAAAAGATTTAATTCTTGAAGCCATGTATCTTGGGTTCTTTTAATTGCCATTACTGGGATTGCCGGATCCTAGCAAACGGCTTTCCTTATCAAAGAGCCGGTGAAACGTTTGGACATTCAAAGAATGCTCCATTCAATCTTTACCGTTCCATTTTCAGTCAGAGAATAAAACATTTTTTGTGAATAATTCAAAGTATTAGTTTACAATTTTTAAAATACATGTCAACAGATTTTTCATTATAAATGCACCGAGAAGTATGTTCACTAACAAAGCAAATTTTTTTTAAAAATATGTGCTGCTGCTTCTAATCAGGACTTGGGAATATAAAGAAGCTTTGGATGGCCTGTGTACATTATTCAGTATATATATATATATATATTACCAACGCATTATTCAGTATACATAAAGCTTGATATTTTTCTTTCAATTTTTTTGGCTAAAGTACATATAACTCCCTCAAACATTAGGTGAATTACATTTAACCTCCTTTATATTTGAAACTCGACAATAGATCCCCTTAACATTTTATTTTTGAACATAAAACTACCTTCCATTGATAACTCTATTAAATCATTAATTGAAAAATGATCCATCAAATTTCAATCAATATGTGGGCTGTGGCAGCTGACATGGCTTCAATATTATTTAAGTCGTTTTCTTTAAAACCAAAACCCAGATCGTTGCATAAAATATATGGCAACTGACGATCTCCTGCATGCAATGGACTTGAAGCCATATTCTATATTTTTTAAAACATAATCAATTTTTCAACCTGCAGTTATCAATATATATGTACATACATGTGCCTTAAAATAATGTTAAATAATATATAAGATAAGCTATATCAATAAATGTATATATGCATGTATCTGTGTGTGTGTGAAAGACAAGCATGTGATCTCATCAAAATCTCTGAAGATTAAAAAAATAATCTGAGGGAACGCTAGGGAATTACCTAAGGAATTTTCAATTGATATGTTTGTGTATGCGTGTTATCCAATTGAAATGATTTTGACTAAATTTCCATTGAAAAATAAAAGAGGCGGTGTCCATTGTCTGTTAACAAATCTAAGCTTCGTGACTGTGGTTGCCATCACAGACACTGAGACAGGTGGTGGAGGGAGATGGCAAGATGGCTTGGTTTAATTTGATCTTCAAGACTACAATTTAATTTAGCCTAAACGTCAGTGATGGAGAGATTGCGCCTCTAAGTCTACCTTTGCCAAAGCAAAGAGGATAGACAGAATTGTGCGTTTCTTGTTTGGTGAAATGTTATTTTATTCCTTAAATATCATTAAAGCCATGTCAGCTAACACCTATTAAGTGAAGTCTAACGAATCATTTCTCTATTAATAATTTAACGAAGTTATTAATGGAAGGTAGCATTTCTGTATTAATAATTTAACGAAGTTATTAATGGAAGGTAGTTTTATGTTAAAAAATAAAAGGTTAAAGGGGTTTATGGTTAAGTTCTAAATATTAGGGAAGTTATATGCAATTACTGACATAATGTTCAAAGGGTTATATATATTTTAACCTCTGCGCGCGCGCGTCCATTTACCTTAAAAGTTTGTTATTTTTTTTAAGTTTGATTTTTATTAATCTAGTTCAAGTCTAGGCCTACAACCCATTTTTTACTTTTAAAATTTAATTTTTACATTGTGATATTACATATTCTTTTCTAAAATATAAATTATCATGTTCAAAAATTAAAAATAAATAATATCTATTTTAATTATAAGGTATAAATATGTATTCTGAAGTCTAAAGCTAGTTTAGCAATGAGAAATACTTAATTTTTTATGGGCAAAATAAAAGAAACATAAACGAACTGACTAAGCCCAAGCCTGCTTTTTTTTTTTGTGCAATAGGGCTTAGAAGCCTAGTTACGTTAAATGTTTTTGATTTTTCAAGCTCAAATCCAGAAAAACAAGTTTAACGAGGCAGCCCGCTGTGTTCCAACTGGAATGAAGGATATGCAACCAACACAAACCTCCACCAAGATCATTTTAAGGAGCATCGATTGAGAGTGCCCTTTTCATCTTGTCCGGTATGAAATGTTTTTATTTAAATAGGAATAAAATTAAAAGTTTAATATATTTTCATATAAAATTAATGATGTAATCATTTTTTGTTGATTTTGATGACATAGGTTGAAGCAAACGGCATTAAATTTTATTTATTTTCCAGTCTGATTGGCTTTGTTTGAGTACCAGAATCAATGTTGGCCCGAGGCTTGCGTTGCTCGCTCTGCCTCTTTCACATTGCGAGAATACATGCACCTATCACCAAAGCAGGTAATGTATACCCAGGCCTTTTCATTTTGAATCGCACATGCGACGTGCAAAATCTTAATCTTGGATAAAATACCAATGAACTATGATTCGAGAGTGCCACTTTCCGCAAGTGCCCATGTAAAATATTGAAGAACACTCTTCAATGAAACACGCACTCACGTACGGCCAAACTAGGTCTCAACGTGTCAAAAGTTATCGATCTTGAAAAATGAATCTATATAGATCGAAGGCGATGCACGCATGCCTGGCAAATCAGATCACGAAAACTAAGAAATATGGCTTCAACATCCAATGAGAGCCAGCCAAGCAAGATCACTTGACGGAGACGGCTTATTGTTAAAAAAGGAAACCTCACTCGAAATCGTGCCCTCCAATCTCTCAAATTGCCAGCGACCTCTTCAACCTACCTAGCTACTTAGCTTGGGATAAACAAAATAAAGGAGGTACATGATAGGAATTTTATGCAACGCCATCTGGTTGAAATTTTCTTGTGTAAAAGGCATTGTCCGAGATGCTTCGGTTGGCCGCTGCACTCAATTCTCTTGCTCTTCGGCAGTTCTTTTCTTGTTTTAAAATTAAAACATTGATACCGTTCACATGCATTAAAAAACAAAAAATACACACATGGATACCGCGTCACAATTTACACCCATAACTTTCTAGGTGCTCAATCAATTTATGGTGACGACATGTTCCTATAGTGGTTTATACTGGCAACATATAACGCACGGGCAATGTGTACACAGTGCTTCAATGGACATCAATTTGTCTTCTGCCTTATAATTTAATTACTATTTTTACGGATATTTTAGCCAAGTAGATGAGCAGTTTGAGCTTCTCTTTTTTTTGGGCCTGAAAATTTTGAATATTTATTGCCGGCAGGAACGTCAACTCTTGAGTGGCCGTAAATCAATTGAAGTGAAATGTCTAGACTGGAGGTATCCATTTTCTGCCATTGCCATAATGGAAAGCGATGAGGACGCAGCGCGGGTCATGACCTTAATTATCTCAAGTTTGATCGTGAATCATAATTCAGTAATTCATCATTTTTTGGGTCCTTGTCAGAGAAGACGAAATATCGGTCGCGGAATGGATTATGTGACACGTGGGAAGCAATTATTGGATGGCTGCAGATAGCGCCATCTAACGAGTGGCCTCCAGTCTATCTATGCTATGTGTGTCTGGGACCAACAACATTAATGTTGACATACCTTGCTAAAGCCACACTCCGCACCATTCCGTTTTTGCATTCCAAATCTGCCAGAGCAAGTTTCAGGCTTTCAGCAGCAGAATAATGGCAACCATCTCCGCCAGCACCCCGACCACATCCATCGGCCGCCCAGGTCTGGTGCACAAGCGACCTCTCGGGGCCTCTTCCTCTCCTATCCTGGGTAAGTAGTTTCCGCCGTGTGATCTCTCGTAGGCATTAAAGCAGAGCTTCATGTTGATATCTGAACTAAGCGATGTTGCGAAAATGGTTCGATAGGGTTGCCGGCAATGGCTAAGGTTGGACGAATAAGATGCTCCTTGGAGGATAGGAAGCCCTGTGTTAAGAAAAGTGAGTCGAAGCTGGGGATGGGGGCATCTTTGATGGCGGCTGCCAGCGCTGCGGTGATGTCAGGCCCAGCCATGGCTTTGGTGGACGAGAGGATGAGCACCGAAGGAACAGGGCTTCCCTTTGGCCTCAGTAACAACGTCCTAGGTTGGATCCTCTTCGTCGTCTTTGCTCTCATTTGGGCTCTCTACTTTGTCTATGTCGGGGGTCTTGAAGAGGATGAGGAGTCTGGATTGTCCCTCTAATTTTTCTGTCTGCTGCCTTGTAGAAATTGCCGAAATCCAGTCTCTTTATGTTGTATTAATTATTAAATCAACCTTATCAATCTGTTCCCGGGAATTAATTCCTCATCTTTGAACTCCAAAATCGTTTCTCCATTGCTTCCTTGTTAATTTGTTACTCTGACACTGTAATTAGGGGAAATTGGGAAGGAGGACCAAGGTTTTTCAAGGGAATTAAGGTTACAACTTTGTTGGTTAAAAAAAAAAAAAAAACTATAACTTTACTTGACTCAATTTCAGTTCACTTAAAGAACTCTGGTCCTTTTTTTCCAAATATTTAATTTCATGGTCCTTCTTCCAAATTCCCCCTTATAACTATAATCACTGGAATAACAGCAAGGGATAGGAGGATCCTACATGGCCTGCAAACAATTTTCCCGGAAACCCAGGGGGAGTTCGTGTTTTATTTTATATATCTAATTTGTGCGAACTACACTCACCCCCCACCCCTAAAACGAGCGAATATTATTAAAGCCAAATTTTCTTGATTGGGTTAAATCTGTCTGTAGCTAGGGTTACGTTGTTGGCTTGTTTAGCTGGCAGTTTGGCATGGCGAATGTTCTAAGCTTCGTGTCACATATTTAAAGCAGGAAAATCTTTCCACCCCGCGTGTACAGGTGTCTAGGATTTGAATCGATTCTCCTTACCTGACATGAAGGTTACAAATCAACTTAACGTGATTTGGTTTTGCAGGTTTAGTTTACGAAAATATATATCATCAGCGACACCTTGATATACAGATTACCAAGGATATCGACCTAATTAAGTTCTATTAATAACATGATCAGGTAATCAAGAATAAAATTTTCATGGCCAAATATATAGTAATGCACGGAGCTAAAATCTGAGTGATGAAACTCTACCCCTAGTCAGCCACGTGTTCGCAACTGTCCGGATTTAGAAGTCAGGAGTACTAGTATTAAAATTTCATAGGACGTCCCGAACCAAGGAGGTGCTCCATTGACGAGTAACAATGCATCGCCGGCATATAAATAACACAAATGGTATGATGTTACCAGCAAGCAATTTCCAAATTCTAGATATAAGATCAAACACTTTTGATGACTTGAGACTTCGGGACAATGTCGCCCGTGGAATGATCCGTCTGCTTATGCTTTGCACATAATGCTTCATCATAATATAACCAAAAGGAGGAATACAGCAACAGAAAGATCAGACACCTCAATGATCTCAAATATGTTAGACATGCTGAAAATTGTGCACCTTTACAAGAACCTGCCAGTTTGCCTGCGGACGGGGATAATGATACAAGGTCTTGTTTGCCTGTGGCCAGCAAGAGATGTCGTGTACCGAGTTCCACATCTTTAAGCTGCGCTGCTCTTCCTCGTGCTTGAAGAGATGGATTTTAGACTCCTCTATATATTATCTAGTTTATCATACACTACTGTTCAAGTAATGTGAGAGATAGAATACAGTTGGGGTTTCCTTGGTATTGTCAGTCATGTGACGTGCCTAACTGTCTATTTTTATCTCTTTTCCTATGCCCGTTCTTTACTCGTGCAGCGCAGTTAAGCAATTGAGGATATACAAATCTTAATAGTGATAGGTTTTGGTCCATGTGAAAGTCCTCTCTAGGGAAATATTCACAATGCCGCTGCCCAAGAGAGTGCCCTTATGCAACCTTCATCATTTCCTTTGTGTGAGCAAGTCCTTGGTTTAGATGGTCTTACATGGCCGCCACTTCCGACTTCCGTGCTTCCTTTATTTGTACGATTAATGTATCTAATTAGGTGATATTTACCTCTGTATAATGTAAAATGACCCAACGAGTTATTTTTTTATAAGTTACGAGTATAACTTATGTCTCTGGACTCTAATTAGATGGGAAAAAAGGTTATGACTCATGCAGAACACGCATTGGTTGGATAACAAAAAGATGAGGGCCAAGCACCTCCCTCTAGATCCACGCATTCTGGTTGTTGGATAATTAGCTGTACTTTTGGATGCGTTTTTACCAGTGCATCAGAGGCGTTATTGATGATTTAAAAAGATATCTCTAGAGGCATGTGAAGAGATTTCTATGTAATGTATAATCCTACAGTGATCATTTTTAAATAGGAACCGATGTGTATTGATCGAGACCTCGGATAAGTCCAACAACAACTAATATATAAACGAAAATCAAAACGTGATACAGGAGAGCCTGATGCATTATTATATTCCCTGGCAGGTGTATCCATTATTGTACAAGGATCCACCGAGGTAGGCACTTGTTCAAAATTTATACGGATATTGCAGAAACTTGCTAGACATATATTGAAACAGGGAAAGGTGCATTTGGGGGGTAGTCCGTAGTACCAGTGTTTAAAAATCAGAGGAAGCAAGGCCTAACTGGCAGAGATGATGATGAATGTCGTGAGGGTGATCGTCGAGTTTAGGGCGTTCAGGCTGTTCCCATCGTCCGTCCCTGTTCTTGATCATGCCCTTGTTCTCGTCTTGCCTCCAGTTAGGCGGCACCAAGTAATGATCTTTCAAGAAGTCGCACGCCTTGTTCACCAGTGCAGGGTCCCTCCCACTCGCCAGCACAAATCTCTCCCCTCTTCCGTGGTATCTACACCCATCATTTGTCATCATTAATATTTCCAAACTACTACACGTCATCACTGCTGATTAATATACGCATGCAGTTATATGCACCAACTTTGTTGACTATGACCGCCCATCCCTTAGTCAACTATCTAACCTATTTTTAACTTCAAGTTTTCAGTTTACAAATCGACACTCCATCCCTCTTTTAAACGCAACTTGCTTTTTATTTTTCATTCCTTTTAAATCTTCGCGTCTCCAGAAGTCTCATCGTTGTTAAAACGAGCTATCTCCGGATCCAAATGGCATGACGGGAAACGGGATATTAATGTGTAAAATATTTCGCTTCATTTCCGTCCTTGTCGATAACGACGGCATTTCTCGCACCAAGACCTCCAAACAGGTTTCTTTGTTTTCTTGAACGCCCCCGATCTCGATTAGTCTGCCTTATTTTGATCTTTCATTAGTATTTTTCCCTAGCTTTGTTTCAACCCAGGAACAACAACAGAATTACCACACGGCCAAGACCGCCTTAAATTAAATTTGTCCAGTGATCGTGATCATGTCTATAGCACGCAAGAAAATTATATATGGGTGAATGAATACTAACCCGTCAATCAAATGCAAGAGAGCCTCCAAGTTATGGGCACAAACAGGATCGTTGGTGGGCTTCAGAAACGGCGAGCTGTGATGGTCCAACTGGAACTCCACCCCAACGTGTGAATAGCTCCACGGCAAAGGCTCGGCCAACTTCATCAGCATCGACGGCACCTGCTCGTTGAACAGAAACCCAGGTGACTTGGGCACAATATCGTGCGCGTTAAACACCCTCAGAACCTTCACTCCCAGGCACTCCAACCTCTCCTTGAACCTCACGTTCACCACTCTCGGACCAGAAAACGAAAACACCGAGACCGGCACTGCTCTGCTATCCTTCTTCACGTGCAACCCCGTTTCCACTATGTCGTAAGCGCTCAATACAGCCAGCGCGCTCCCCAGGCTGTGGCCCGTGATCGTTATGCTCAGTTCCTCGTCTTCGTACATTTCTAGCAACCGCCTTACCTCTGCCAAGATCTGCTCCCTCGCCGAGTATCTGCAGAACCGGCACGCGTCGTCCTTCGAGGTGTAGAGATCCACAAAACCGGATTCCACTTTCACTGTTTGGTCCGGGCAGGGGATGTTGTTGGAGGAGATGGGTTTGAGAAAATCCATCAAGTCCACGATCCATTCCAGCCGGCTCACAGTTCCTCTCCATGCAATCGTTATGTCTCTGCGGCCCAGTCTTTTGGTAGCTCGGTCATCGGAGATGGCGACATATCCCGCCCAGTTAGCGTCATTGCTCCACATTCTGGGCCATCGGGACTTCTTGAAGAAGTTGGGGAGGTTGATGTTTGGGGTGGCGTAGAGGTAGCGCGTGACGTCGTAGCCGAGTTGATTCATTCCCAGGGACTTGAAGAACTTGCCACGCGTGAATCGGCAGCTCCCACAGTACTTGGAAAAGGGGTCGTAATCGAAAGCGTCGTAGCAGGCTTGAGCCATTTCGCCGTAGCGAATCAGTTCTGATCGTAGAAGTGGGTCCATGGGGTCAAGAAGCCCAACCCAGTCGTTCTCCCCGTGGATGTCGCGCCAAACATAAGGCAGTCCCGCGTCGTGGGATTCTTTGGAATGCGCCTTGTCAGCTTCTTGTTCTTCGTCTCCACTTACTCGTACTCGTTCCCTCTCGAGCTCGGTGACCATCGACGACAAGGTCGAGTCGGATTCGGACAAGACCTTGCATATTGTAGATTTTCTTGTAGCTGGTTCTGCGGCTATCGATAGAGACTTGTTACAGGCGAGGGACAATGGCGCTGGAGATTTTTTGTAGGATGGGAAGTCAGCCTGGACCCGGATCCTTGACAAGGGAATGACGACGCCGGAGATTGAAACAGCCATTGGAGTTGTCGAGGCAAAGCTTCAATTTAATCCCTGTGGGGAGCTATGCCCATTGCTGGGGAAGCAAATAAACATATTTCCGACTGCAGGGAGAATAGCACATCGATGAATTTTGCTCTGCACAAAGATCACGTGGGTTACTTTTTAATCAGATGACCGATACCGTATCCATATAATAAAATATAACATCTATTAAAAAATATAAACTGTTATATATCGACCTTCAACTGAACCACAGCTCAAGAAAAATGGGTCTGAAGAAAGTTATTCCCATGAGGTGGATATGTGGCCATATCCTTCGAACACACGCGGTACATAATTACATATATAACAAACGACTGTTAAATTTTATTAGGACTTAGCGCGTATTCTAGTGTATAAACACCCATTATCCAAATTCGAGGCGCACATGGATCTCTCCTGTCCTTTGCCAGCCAGGAAAGCAGCTCGATCAGCAGCGTCTTTCCTCATGCCCATTCCCCGGGGGAAAGGGGGGAACCATCACATGACAAGTTGACAACCCGTAATCGTGAGAGTTGAGCCACGACTCACGAAGGGCTGATCTCCGCGGATGTCAAAGGAATCGCGGCTTGTTCAGTTGTACGGCAGTTCTGTGACTTGGCTTCTTTCCACCGACTTCCCCCCTCATTTACCCTTCACTGACTTAAAATGAAATTCAAACCATTCAGATTTGGTGTAAATTTGGATAGTCTATTTTTAATTTTAATTTTATGTTTATTAAAATAAAAAAAATATAATAAATTCATTTATTACCAACTTCTACAGTCTAAATTTAATATGTATAATTTAATTTAATATTAAATATTTTATAATTTTTATAAATTAACTATCCAAATTCATTATGAATAGTCTAGATTTAATATTAATTTTCTAATAATTTTTATAAATTTTCATTTAAATAAATATAATATTAAAACTAAAGATAATCTCCTAATGGACACTTTTCAAAAATATTTTTATAAAAAATTATAATTTAAAAATTTTAAATTCAAACCATTCAAAATAAATCTATAAAATTAATTTATAAAAATTATATAAATTTAATATTAATTTTTAGATCCTCCAAATTAAATTTAGATTGTTTTGATTGGTGATAAAATAGATTTATTATTTTTTTTATTTTAATAAGTATAAAATAAAATATAAATAGAAAATAAAAATTTTAAATTTTGACAATTTAAATTTAGTTTGTACCAAATTTAGATGGTCCAGATTTTATTTTAAATTAGTGAAGAGGAAATTGAAAAAAAAAAGTTAGTGGTGAGAAGCCAGGTCTAACAGCTCTCTCGTGATTTTGATCCCTTTAAAAAGTTAAGATATTTTAATTTAACACGCCCCCTTAATTCTCAGCGTACACACAAATTATTGGCTTGCATCCGGTATGAGATCAGCATTGAAACTGGCGATTTACTTTTCTAGGATGAAATCGACACCCACACACAAACGTGACTACTTATGCTCTGATAAAATTCAAAAGGTAAATTTGAGGAGGTTTGTACGCGTTCAAAAATCAAGACCACGAATGTATATTAGTAATTAGTAAGTATGCTAAAATGTTGTCCATCGCCATAAATTTTGCAGTGTGAACAGTAAATTAGTCTGTCTTCGTAAAAAAAAAAGGGGGAAATACAGGATTTAGCAGCAGTTGTTCTTGGTTATGTCGAAGATTGTAATTACTTTATACATTTATACACAAGGCATTCAATTCCCAGCAACATTTATACATTCATGTTTCCAGAATCAAATTAGACATTAAATCAAAAGGGTCGACAATTCATGGTTCACATAGTTTAAGTAATTAAAACAATAACATAATAATTAAATTTAAAAATATTATATGTGTATGTAATAAAATAAATAAGAAATTGTTGTATAACTTAAAAGTAAAGCTAAATATTTCAAGATAATGATGAGTTAACAAGCCATGTGACATAACACAATAATTAACAACTCAAGTAGCCAATGTCAACATATCACTACAACACAGCACACAATCAACTCAAACAATTACAACATCATGTTATTAATTCATGACTTTTCAAAGATTGGTTGAATTTTAATCGCCCTAAGCTGTTCCACTAGTCCCTAGCATGGCACTAGATTAAGATAATTAACTCGGGGCTTATGGTATGCACAATGAACCACTGTAATTTATAAAATGCTATCTTCATCCAAGCTACCTAATGAAATCCTTTAACTCAAATAATAAATCCAAGCTATACCACAAAGCATGAAAAAAAAAATCCAACAATAATAATAATGGGTCCCAACTCCAAGCTCAAATGTTACCATCGTAAAGAACATAATATGTTTATTATGAAAGGTTGGTCAAAGCAACAGGCGCAACAGGACAGTCACAAAGCACGCAAAGCAAGATGCAGATTTTTTTTAGTACTTCAGCCATTTGCTAATGAAAACCCTTGCTGAAGGAAGTTATAAAGGCGGGGAAGAGTTGAGCAAGAGAGACAAAAGTGCAGAGAGGGTGGTTCTTTTTCCGTACAAGGAAGTTTTAACAATCAAAATCACATAATACCACATAATGTCTCAAGAAAGCAGACGGATGAATGAACCAAAATGAATGAGGAAGTGATCGAACTTGCTCGGTAACGCGCAGACGGAGGGACAATGGAGGACAGACTCGTCGTCGAAGCTCTGGCTAGAATCGCGAAGACGTGAGGAAGACGGAGTGTGGGTCTGAGCTTTGGAATCGCCAGTGAAGAGGATGACTGCAATGGAGGAGGGTTTTTTTACTTTTTACCTTTAACCTTTAAAGTTGAAATTGAGGGAAAAAGTAAGGAAAAAGTGAACCGCTCGATTCACTAATTCCCAGCTTTTAGGCAGTTTGCAATCTGACTATCTTTGTAGAACGGCCCAACCCAATCTAAATACAAAAAGCTGAAAACAGTTAGCTTGTTCAAACCGAGTTGCCATAGTAACCAATCAAGAGCCTAATCGATCGAATTGTCTAGTTAGGAATGGATATGGTTTTGAAATCATTGGTATACACATGACAATTGCCGCCAACTTCACAAATAATCATGCAGCACAAGCGATGTTATCACCAATCAATAGAATTTTTGCGGCAAAGAGAATGATAAAATATGAATTTTTTTACAAGGTGGAATGGTACTGTTCCTGTTAGGATATGCCCATCAGTGATTCTCCGTCTTTTACGTCAAGGGCTCAAGGCAAGGGACGGGCATGCAAACGAAGTGGCCGGGCATTCTTCATCTATGAACACAGAATGGAGCTCAGTGCAAAACCAGGAATTGGTCAAATATGAAGTCTCGGGAACATTGTCGTAAATCTGTAGTTCTTATACTCTGTGTTTAGCTAGCCTGTGCTTGTTTAGATTGTATCCTAGGTTTTGAGAGCCGTGTGTCAGACTGTAACAACAATTTTTTGCCTTTCTGGTTTGCTTGGCATCTGTCGTTAGGTTTTTGAGATTAATAAAGTGTCGTTAGTTTGGCTAACAAAGGAAAAGTCTTGGGCCATCTATTCATTTGTTTATTTTTTTAAAAAGTCTAACGAATGGGAAGTGTTCGACACGCTATTACGTCACGCATGTGCATGCAAAAGGCAATGGAAGCAAAATAGAAAAAGTTGAACGGAGTGAAACCACCAAAATGGCGCGAACTCTCCCGCGCTGGGCTATTATTTTACTCTTGGCATCCCCTCCCTTCTCAGCCCAAACGCTCCCGCTATGCAACACCACCAACCCAATACCCATCCCAATTTCGCCACCGCAGGCTCCACCGCGCCCGGCATCAGCTCCGACCCCAAGGGCGGCAAAAAGCGGGGCAGCTATAACTGTGGCCGCTGTGGTCTCCCTAAGAAGGGCCACAACTGTCACATCAAAAGTCCAATTCATCCGTCCGCTGCTACCCCTATCGATTCATCTGTATCCGCCTTTTCTGCCATTCACGAGTCTCCAACCTGTCAGCCGCCGCCCCGATATTCTTACTCCTACCTCCGTCGGGCATTGTCATTTGACGATGCCGAAGACCGAAACGGCGGATTCGATCCGCTTGAAGCGGACGATCGGGAGGCTGGATACCCGGATTCCTCCGGTCTGGACTCGGGCGGGTTGCCAGTAAACATTCTCTGGGACGTGCTGCGGAGATTGCCGCCGACAGGGCTGTTGTCGGCTGCGAACGTTTGTAAAGGGTGGAATGATACGGCGAGAAGGGTGTGGAGGGCGGCGGAGGAGCTGAGGCTTAGGGTTCCCGCCAGAGCTCAGGTCGGGTTTGTTGCATCAATTTTGCAGAAGTGTACCAGTCTTGTGAGGCTCTCTCTTAGAATGGAAAGGTGTGGAGTTTGTCTGATTCGCCGGTCTTTCAGATCTGCAGTTCTACGTTGCTGATTCGGTTCTATTTAACTAAATTAACGAAGTTAAGTTTCTTAATTCAAGACGTTGAAAACGCCGGAAATTTGTGGTCAAACGTGGCAGGATGCAGAACTTATAAAGTGCGGGATGAAAGATCGAAAGCAACTGTTCGATGTTAAATCTATGAACAAAAAATGGAAAAAAAATCAATAAATTATCTTTATTTCCAAACAAACGATGGCAAGATACAGGGCTGAGCTATTAGCAACGGAGTAAGAATCAGGATTAAAAATGAGACTGAGACTGAGACTGAGACTGCCGGACAGTTTCCTAACAAAAGACCCATAATCATTGGATTTACTTGGAACTGTATCGAAACTTGTAGTATTTTTAAACTATGCCGCTTGCTGCACGGATTTTTTTTTTTTAAAAAGAAATGTTAAGCTTATATCTACTTTGATTTTGTAGATCTTCACACATTTTCGTTGATACTGCAGTAATGTCGATTCAACGATGCTGGCTTGCATTGCATTCTCGTGTCCCAATCTGGAATTTATGGAGATCTCAACATCTAATGCTGCAATCAATCGGATCAATGGGTAATATTCATGATTCTGTTCTTTGTCTTTGAACTATGTTCTAGATTTCTTTGTTTTTGAACTATGTTCTAGATTGATATGGAAAACCAGCTTTTCAATTCTCAAGCATCGTGCTTTCGTTTGTGTAAAGATATGTTTCCGATAACGTCATGTTTCAGTGTTTTGCGTTCGGGGATTCTTTATGTCAAAGATGAATGAACAACTCATGTCTATCTATTCTTTTTTTAAAAAAAAAAAAAACTCATGTCTACCTGAATTTAGTGGCGTTTGTTTTGTTTTAAACATCGTTTATATTTGAGTGAGTTTCGGTTGTCATTTACAAAACCACATTTGCAGTGAGATTCTGGATCTGTTTATCTTGCCTATGTTTCACATTGCTCCTATTTGATTCTCTCTAGTCTTTTAACATAAAAACTAGATTGGGTGCTCTGTATTAATATTCATTGGTTTGTCACCAGTGTACTGCATGTTTTGTGTCTGAATTACCGTATGTTAGAATTGTGATCAATATCTGTAATGGACATGTCCATAACAAATATTACATTTGTTATGAATTGGCATTCTGTAACATTTGTCAAACTTGTAAATCTAAAACTTTTTAAAAATTTTCTGTAGTATAAATTTTCTATATAGTATATCCTTTTCCATGCTAGTAATCTAGTATCCTAAACTTTTACTGAATTATCGTATCTGCATAAGCATAACTGTTTTTTTTTTGTATTGATTCTCCCTGCGTCACTTCCAACCTCTTTTTTTTTTTTGGGTTTTTGGGGGCTTTGGGCCGTCCTGTTTCAGTTTATGATCCTAGTGTTATCAGTTATGCAAGATTAACTCGGTAAAATGTTTCGTTTATCTGAGCATATGGTTTATTTTATTCATAATTTTGAAAATGCAGGGAAGAATTGGGTCGATTTGTTGCTGACAAACGAAGCTTAAAAAGCCTAAAAATTGAAGGTTGTTCTAATCTTGGGGGTTTGGTACTCTGTTCGTCAAGCCTCACAACGGTCTGGCTATCGGATCTGTTCTCGCATTCTAAGATGGTGATTACTTTCCCTTTCTTCTTTAATTTTGTAAGGTGTGATCATTGCCCAAGTTGATAGTACGCTCTTTTAGTTATTGCATTCAGAATGGACTCTTCTATGATTATTAATCGATGCTTTGATGCACTAGGTATTTAACTGTCCCCAGTTGAGAGAGATTTCCTTGGAATTTTCCCGCCAAGAAATTGATGGCACCGATATCACTACTATGGTTGATGGTTTAGGAAGAAGTTGTCCCAAGTTGCAAAATATACATATAGCTTCGGTGCGGCTTTCTCATGCTGCTGTGCTTGCTCTTACGGCTGCCCAGTTGAGGTTTGTCAAAATCCTGTCGGAGTAGACGTTCTGTTCTGCAGTTACTGGCAAAAGCTATATAAAGTTAGGTTCATCAAATGATAGTTTATGAACCGCGTTGCTTTGAGCTTTCTTAGATACTCCATCGTCTGCCTGTTCGTTAGCATGATAAATCACTTTGGTGTTAAACAACATCTTGCAACAAGTTAAGTGCCATATAATTTAGCTTCTACTTAATGCCTAAGATTTTATTGGTGGAAATCTGCATTCAAAATTCGATAAATTCTTTGTTAATCGAGGTCACATTCCCTTTCAAGCAATATGCTGTTCCGGTATTTCCCTTTCACGTGTGTTCTAAAATGTCAGGTACGCGCACACAGATTTTAGACAATTGCAACTTGCGAAATCCACTCAACTGAGAAGCTTGTTTAAATGTTTCATTTTTCAGGGGTCTGCGAATGCTTTCACTTGTGCTTGGATCTGACATAACCGATGCTTCTGTTGCTGCAATCACCTCAAGCTATCCAAATCTAGAACTGCTTGATCTCAGCGGGTATGTTCCTGGAAAATGCAATCAAGTTAAGAGACATCAAAGGCTTCATTGCAACTCAAGCAACAAATAAAGTTGAGGGAAAGTTCAATATGAGCATCAGAAGTTCAAATGAGCTACTTTTATTTATCTCTGTTTATCTTGCCTTTTAGAAATATGTTCAACCGCTCACTTTGATTACAGATCTAGCGTGAGTGACAGTGGAATTGGAATGATCTGCAACGTATTCCCAGAAACATTGTCAAGACTCCTCCTTGCTCTCTGCCCAAATGTGACCTCAAGTAATCACCCTTTTTATATATTCAAATGCTTCATGAGCTTGCTTATTTGCATACTTTTCTACCTGGCTAATCTCCTGTCTTACGTTTCAGGTGGTATACAATTTGCTACAGCCCAATTGCCGCTTCTGGAACTTATGGACTGTGGCATGACCATATGTGATCCTAGTTCTGAAAATCGTATGAATGATGAAAACAACTGTGAATTACCGAAAACATCTAGCACTAATTTGCCACTTGTGAACCAGAAATTAATCATCAAACATAGCCGTTTGAAGAAACTAAGTTTATGGGGCTGTACTGGCTTAGACGTGAGTTCTACCGCTCTAAAGTACATTGCATATCTTTACTCCAGCTTCTAATCCTAACAGTTTCACTTCTCCATCTAATATACAGGCATTATATTTAAACTGCCCGCAACTGGATGATCTGAATCTAAATTCTTGTGCAAATTTGCATCCAGGTAATCATTTCATTTTCCCCCCTCCTTAGCTAATTAACAGGGGAACAAGGCATTTTTTCAGGGAATTTAAAAATGTACTACGTTTTTTTTTTTGGAGGGGGGGAATACGATTGATTATTTGCTACAACTTTTTCAGAGAGACTGTTGCTTCAATGCCCCAGTTTAGTAAATGTGCATGCATCAGGTTGTCAGGATATTTTAATCGGGGCCATCCAAAGTCAGGTAACAACTTTTCGGAATTTTCCTTCTATTGTACATGTCACATTCACAGAAATTAATACAATAATTTCCCCCCTCATGAAAGAGATAATCAAATGATTTTTTTATAAGATTATTCTTGTTTTTCTAACTAATATTGCACTAAAACATGTAAAAAAAATTAAAAGAATGAAAATGAAATTGTTATTGTTATATATTTTATATTGATGAGCAAAATCACAAAAGTTCACGAACAAAGCATTTATACTCATCGTACAAAAGGCCCCGGGGTTTGATCTATGATTTTTGACCGTTGAAACATGTGATGTTTCATCTAGTAGAGTAGACTAGTACTTTTATCCTTGGGAAAAAAAAATCTGGTACTTGTATTTTTTGCTTCTATTGCTGTCTAATGTTTTATTTCCATTTTTTAGTAATTGTAATTATGCTTTAATTAGGTCTTTATTTCTGTTTTTCCCCCTTTCCCAGGGAGCTGTCTGCCTGTGTTGTATCTCTGTCCAAACTTGAGAGATTCGTAGGAGAAAATCATGTGTTAATGCCTCGCGTGAGAAAATTAAGGCTGCCTCTGTGAGTTGAGGATGTTTGGAATCATGACTATCACTAACAAGTGAGATGGTGGAAAAACAAAATTCCACGTTGTGACATACTACATAGTGAAGTGAAGAAAATAAAATTATGGAGATTTTGTTTTAAAGATTAACGAAAAGGACGAGGGTTTAGGAAGGAAAATCAAACAGCGATAACGAAGAAATTTTTTGAATTTCTAAATGACAAGAAAGATGATTGGCAATGTTAAAATTATTTTTGGGTTGAGTAAGCGTTGAAAATTTGTTTGATTATTTTGAAATTTGAATATCTTCATTTGTTCTTTCATGCTTGTTGGTTAATGAGTTAGGATTTAGTGGACAGATTTTTCCTATTAATGGATTGAAGTCATGTTTTTCCTTAAACAGTGGTGAATCTCCTGTGATCTATATTTTCTTTTAAATTACAGTCATTTTGTTCGAAATAAAATAATTGAGACTGAAATTCTTCAGTAATTTTAACAGTACACGTTCTCATCATAGTTTTGTTCTTGCAACATTCTCGCAGGTCTGCAGCGCTTTTACATCTATGGAAAGCCTATCACCTAGTAAACGCCTGCCTGATGGTTCCAAAAGGGTCCAGGTTCCTTATTTTCACAGCAGCGAGGTAATGCTAAAAGTAATGTAGATTTTATTTTACTGAAACTTTTTCGTTAGTCTCCGGAAGTTGAAAGTGAAACTAACAAGGGAATCTCAATTCCATGCTGAGAATCTGAAATGTCTCACTCATGATGCCATACAGCCCTTGGGCAATCTTGGCGAACATATTCTAGAATTGAAGGTGGTGCATGCAAGTGGGATTAAATAATAAACATTTAAACCTTTGCATGGACATCTTATAGCTTGCCTCGCCTTGCTGTACACAAGATATGATTAACTGGAACTCTAAACCTAACAGATAATTTTAATCCTTTTGCAGTCGCCCGATGAGGGAAAAAAGCGTGGGAGAATTGAGAGACGGCTTTGTAATGTGATTGTTGACTGATCTTTCCTCTTGCTTGATTTTCCTGTATAGATGTGTAATATCTTGTCATCTAATCTAATCTCCAAAGGCAGAATCCACTAGGTGCTAGATAGGTTTAAAATTCTTGTTCGAATCAGAATTACTGCTCTATGATTCTCTTTGTTGCCGGCTTGCCGCTGCCTGATGTTCATGGTTATCATCATAATCAGCAGTCAATGTAGACTACTCTGAATGACTCCACGACATTTAATGAAATAAATTATTTTTCCGACGTTGCTCAGTTGTTTTATGAGATTATATCAGTTGATCCAATTTAGGTGTTGCTATTTATTAGTATTGATTTTATTTTGGGATGTAATGAAATGAAAAATAAATAGAATAAAAGCAAGTTTTTTTGTTCATGAAAAATATTCCATGTATGCCTACACCTAAAAAAAGTATTGAAAGGGAAAAACTGTTGATTAATAATTATAAAGTTATAACGGGTATTGCACAATGTTTTCCTTCACTTTTTCTATCGAGAAACCAAATTCTTGCCGCTGGTCCAAAAAATAGAAAGATTCATGCCAGCTTGAATCGTTACTTGATAAACTGGTTATATCTTAGCCAATTCAACCTATTAGATGGGTTGTCGGAACAAATAAATAAATAATAGAGAAGATAATCGAGGTGGAGTGTCGTGAAGATATTTTTAGGTGAAATGTTGTGAGGAAATTAAATCTTGTGTAGACATTTTTTCATTAAGAGCACACTTAAGATTTGAGTGGTAGCTATACTGATTCGCGAAAACTATATGATCCTATTAAATTAAAATTAAAATTAAAATAATAGTATTTTTATTATATTACCATTAAAAATTATTATATTGTCATTATATTTTATTTAAAAATTTAATAATAGACAAACAAACTTATGCGTTCTTGAGCACAGGCAAGATCTAGGCAAGATCTACCCTACCTCTTGGAGGTTCAAATTGTCGTCACTGACTATTTGTCTATTTCACCAAAAGGGTTTCGGCTTCGCATTTTTAGACGGGAGAATTTTAATTAAAAAATTTTGACCACACTTATTTAAATTTAAAATTTTTAAATTTTTAAAATTTTATTACAATCTAAAGGTATTGATTTGATATTCCCTCCGTCTCAAATTATAAAATATTTTTAAATAAAATTTTACTTATCAATAAATTTTATTAAATATACTTAACAATCTTATCTTTCAAAAAAACATAAACTATCAAAAATACCCATCATTTAATATATTAAAAAAAGAGGGGTGGAAATTAATTATAAAAAGAGAAACTGTAATATTGAAATTGATACATTTAATGAAACATTAATCTATCTACAATGTCTTATATATTGGGATGAAGAAATTCTTTTAAAAGTGCCTTATAATTTGAGATGGAGGGAGTATTAAATTTATGAGAAAAATAATAAAATTATTTTTTATATAAATTAATATCAAAACTGCTCTGCTTTACTTATTAATTGCCTTACTTCACTTGTTCACTTATTTAGAATGAAATTAAATGAAAGTTTGGCAATAAATAAGTGAAGTAGGGTAATGAATAATAATCTATAAGTAAATAAAAAAACATACAGGATATGAATCAATAAGTTGTCTTAAAATGATTTAAACATATAAAATAAAAACAAGTTAAATAAGGCAACTAACAACGTTCCATATGTAAATTAACAAGTGAAGTAGGACAATAAATAAGTTAAGTATGGAAGTTCTTAAATTAATTTAAATGAGGGGCAATTTTGTTATTTTCCTCAGAAATTTAATATTTAATCAATGTCCCTAAATTACAGCGTAATTTCAAAAATTTAGGGATTTGGAATTTAAATAAGCATGGCTAAGTGATTTTATTGAAATTTTTCCTTTATAGATTAACTAGACAGTTTTCATGTATTGCATAGGTTGGATTTAAGGAATTTGAAACAAATATAATCAATATCATTAATATCGACATATCTGATATTGCTAAATTTTTAAAAGTTTCTCTATTTAATCATTTTCCTTCTTCTTAGATATTTCATTCGTACACATCTTATCTTTATTTCTCGAGTCTATTGTGAGTTATAGATAAAGTTCAAAAAGTCAAATCTTCGATGATTCTAACATACATGATTGAATTGTGAAAACTTTTAGATACATATCTTACATTTGAACTAAATCATTTCTAGTTAAAGAATTCAACATGCTACGGGTTAGTTCTATCGTTAGTCTCCAAGCACTTGGCATGGCTTTATTTTTTTAGTATATTGTTAAGTTCATTCTTTAAGTTGGTTTTTCAAAGAATAAAAAATTTATAAAATTTATGGCAAGCAACTTTTGTTTTAACAGATAAGGTGCCATTTTTTTAATAAAAATGCCATACATAAATAAAAATTTTCTTAAAAAATTAATTATATCTCTATAAAAAGAAGAAGTTGGAAGGCCAAAGCATAACAGCTATAGGTTTTTCCTTTGACTATATTCTTCTTTGTTTATTGTTGCCATTCACTCAAAGAGTAAGTTAGAGAAAACTTTTTTATTTTGATGTTTGTAAAATGAATCACATGATAGAACTTTATGTAAAGACTGAGCTTTTAATAAGACTCAAATAAGGAGATCGGTTAGCTAGATAACATATTCTTGCAATGAATTACTTTTGCAAAGAATACACAACACAAAAAAATTTATTCAACTATGGTATAAAAGGTCCTTTTTTTTTCCTTATGTAACATTTTGAAAAATTTTCTTATAAACTACATTTGTCATAGATGTTAAAGGCCTAAATTCATAATCATGAATAAGAAGCTTAAGGTCATGCTTTGACCTAACTCTAGATAACATAATCAGAAGAATTGTTTGAATGAATACCTTCTCATCAATGAGGAGGAAAGAAATGTTACAAATATGGTAAGGCGGGTTCCTCTGCTTCATATTCCATTTTCTTAGGACTCTCATAAAAATACATCATGTCTTCATGAAGTTATTGATGTTTTAACAAAGTCATGCTCATTGAATTCCATCTCTGCCTTAGATGACTTAAAAGGAGGAATAATTATTTTTTGAAGGAAATAATTCAAAGTAATAAAATTTAGGGTCTTTTATAAATGGATGCAAGCAATAAGAAGCATTCTTTTGATTAGTCAGGTGTTCAGAATGAAAAAATAAAAAAATAATTCCCACTGCATGATTAGATATAATTAATTTGATAGTTACACATGAAATATTCTTTGTCAACCATGTGCAAACAAACAGCTTTTGAGGGAATTAATCTTGAATGGATTTAGTTTCTCAAGAAGTACTATAATGAAAGACTTTTAGTTGGAAAAAATTAATTCTGATAGTAGGAGTGATTGAAGGAATTGATATAAAAACATATACCAATTCAATAGTGAAATATTAGGAAAATGATTTTTAGGTTCCAATGAGATGATCAATAATTTGAATATTCAAAATTTAATATTTTTCAATATTTGAAGTGACTGGAATTTGATTTTTACTGTCAAGTATTGAAACTGGTATTAGAAAAATGGTTTTACAGGTTTCAATGAAATAATTAAGAATTTGAATATTTAAAATTTAATCTTTTTCAATATTTAAAGTGATTGAGATTTAATTTTTATTATTAAGCATTGAAACTGATATTTTATATATTTTACACACTTGACAATAACTGTTCATTAATGGAGTAATGGGAGAATGTGTGAATGGAGTATGTGATAATTAACCACGATGAGTTAGTTATAGTGATTATCTTTGCAAGAAACAGATGAGTAATAATATAAACAAAGATAAATCTAATAGAGTTATAGTGGCATATGGTTTTTTAAGTTTTAAATTTTGATAATTGAATATTATTAGGTGGTTTTCATATTCATATTTTAATGGAGGATTTTAAATTTAAAAAGAAGCATTTTAAACTTTTTACAGTGAAGGCATTGAAATTGATATTTATCATACTTTACCATTTCTTATTAAATGATTATGTGACAAGAAAGCAACATGAAACATAAATTTGAAAGGCCACGATATTTTCCAATTCATGCACATTGAGCAAGAAAAAACTATTTAAAACAAAAATTATACCTTCTATTTTACAATTAGGTTCTAATGCTCTAGTTATTTTAAGATGAACTTTGACACTTCCTTCACAATACTAACATGCAAAGACTGTAAAAGTTCACAAACCTCTTCTAATTTATACACTAGAGTGACTTTATCTTCATCTGATAAAGTATAATTGTTCAATCACGACCTCTAGTAAGATTCCACAACTCTTCAACTTGATTTCATTATTTCCTAAACTAATCAAACAAAACTCGTTTGATGATCACAAAATCTATTAAAAATTTTTTAAAATAAAACATATGAAAAAAGAGAATGTTGATGGGTAAATAATCAATGATGATTCTAAAATACATCTATGCAAACGAGGTGAATGCAAATAACATTGTCTCAAACCCTTGAAAATATTTAAGGGGAGTAAATAAAAAAAAACATAGGGGACCAAAGGGAGAATTCTTGGAAGGAGATTATTGGAAGAATCATTGGGAACAGGGCACAATGTTAATGGAATTGTAGAGATGATTGAAATAAATGTTCTCATTTGAAATGAGAATCGATAGGAGGATTGATAAAAGTAGGAAAAGTAGAAGAAATGGCCCAAGAATAAATTGAGTGAACCAATCATGTAAAGGAATTAAATTAAGACTAAAGCAAATTGACCAATAGGATTGAACAAGAGCTAATCTCATACGTTTATGGATTTGATTTAAGAAATTTATAAAAAAATATAAATTACAAATTTACAAAATTCCAATTTAAATAATGCTATTGTCTTGTTAGGAAAAATAATATATATATACACACACACACATACATATCAATCAATTTTAAGGTTCAAAAAATGATGAACATTATTTCTTTTTTACAGGCTAAACACATTTGGTTAATGAATACTAAATTTTTAAGTAATATCTGACGTTTATGTATAAATTTTTTAAAAATAAAATGGAAATAAAAGGAACCTTTCTAGCCCTTTGATCTGAAACATATTTTGGCGCCTCTTGGGTATAAGATTCTAACTCATGTTCAGGTACAAACTCCATTTCCTAACAAAATGAGGTAAATTCCTATAGAAGACCCTTTCTTAAATTACATTTGACTGAATGGCAACATTTAAAAAGTGTATATTTCAACATATTTAATAATAGGAACCCTAAAGGAGAAAGGACGAAGAGAAAGAGGATCACCTTGGGAGATCATAGAAGAAATTGTCGATGGAGCACCAAAAACCTTTTGGGTTATAATTAAAGATTTATCATTAACAAAAACTAATTTAGAATTGACAAAATGTGCGCATAGAGGAATTGAAAATAGAATGTACTCCTAAGCACGAGTAATCACATATGACCCTAAGAAATCAAGTTGTTGGATGCCATGTGGGAAATGATTGCTTGGAATTGAAGGGCGATACTGGAGTAGCTGGAAGGGGCAGTTTTGCATCGCCTTCCCAATCCATAGCCCATACCCAAATCCTCTACTCCACCAACCCTTGATTACAGTAGACAAGGGAGAAACTTAGCGAAAAAAAAAAAATGAGAACAAATATTTCTGATTGGTAAGGAAGCGTCGAAATACTTCTCTACTTATGAGTTATTATTGATTAATGGTTACCTTTATGCTGAGAATCGAGGGAAAAGCTCTAAAAAATTGTCACCTTGTTCTGAGTAGAATCCCATTGTTCAAGGAGTTGATGAAGCATCACAAATCTAGGGTTTTACTTGACTCATGGCTTTGAACTTCCGATTGAAGAAGATGATTATTAGGAAGGAAGAACCTGAACAAAGACGAGTAGGGGAACCGAGGGAGTTGAGCGACATTTAGTAAATCTATGGAGAAATTGAAACTCTTAACAACAAGGAAAATTGCAAAGGGTTGGGAAAGTGCAGCGGATATGAATGGAGTTAATGCTCTCTGAATTATTCAAAATTCAAAATTTAAAAGTGATACTGCACTTGCTCTGAAATTAATGCTCCCCTGATGATAGATTTAAAAATATATAAAAAAAAATGGATCTCATTCACCAATCAAAATTTTTTTTTAGTAAAACTAACCAATGAGATAGAAAAATTAAAATTATATTAAGGTTAATTGAATCAATAATATAAAAAATATTTTAACCAATAGCATTCTATAAGACTTGTTAATACATATCAAATATTGCTGATTGATGGCGCGGCTTGACTTTGTCCCAGAATGCGTTTGGGTCCCTTTCGATCGGCTAAATTTTGCTCCTGAAGCGAAAAGAATTAAAGAAAAGAAAGAGCAAGGCAATCATTAATTTGAGTGCGGCCAAGAGAACGAGGCCGTTGCCAGGGATCAAACTTCAAAGTAGGAAAGAGCAAGGCAATCATTGGAGCGAAAAAGGCAAGACGCCGTTGCCGGGGATCGAACCCGGGTCGCCCGCGTGACAGGCGGGAATACTCACCACTATACTACAACGACTTGTTGGTTTTAGTGGTTAGGTAAAAGTTTAATTATAAAAGTTACGGCTGTCATCTCTCAACCATCACGGGGTCAGATTATCTGCCCTGGCATAAACCCAGCGCCACAGTTCCTCCAGGTGGTCCAACAATGGAATTGTCATTCTCTTCAGCCACGCCAGGAAGACATCGAGCATGTCCTTTTGCAGGTCTCTTTCTTTGTAAACCAATTGGATTTCATCTATTGTGGTTCGCATCATTTTTTCCTTGATGAACATTCTCAGGCATTGTTTTATTATTATTATTTTTGTTTGCTAATGCGGTGTTTTTTTTTTTTTTTTAATTATCATATGTCAATAAAGCATGTTCTCAATTATCGATGTCCCTCTACTGATCGCTTTTCTTTTCCTCTACCTTTATTATTGCAAATTTCAACTGCCCGTGCAATTCTTCGTAGAAACTGAACCGAGCAGCATAAATTAATATAAGCTTTGCTCCGCTAATCAGATGGTTTAGGGAAGCGAGGTGATCCTTGGCATCCGATGCGGATGTAGTACCATATAGCGTCTTGTTTATGTAATTATTTTTTTAGCTGCGCGTGGCCCTTTTCAATTATGCACTCTCAGAATAGTGTACTTCAAAGTGGACCTTTTCCTGTGCATGCTGCGTGTATACTTCTTATCTACAGGGTCTTTGCTCCGAGGAAGAGTTAAGACGCATGAGTGGACTCCTTGCTTACTGTCCATTGGGCGGCCAAAGAATTTTGTGCAACTATCATTTTGGCACACTAGCTATCCTAAAAGGAAGGATGTGCTCTTTAAGGTGCATATCTCTTACCACGTCTAAGTTTTATTGGGGTGTTGACATTAAATGCTGTGCTTATTTAGTCCGCTTCGATGTCACATTGCTCCCTTTTACCATCTCAGGTTTTATGTGGTCAAATGGATGAAAGGAGAGTTGTTCATGTAGTAGAGGGCAGGTATACCATCTTTTGTATTTTAATGATATTCCTTTCAGGAGTATGAAGCAGAGTTCTTGGCATGGATATGTTACAAACTTCTGAGAGAAGCAGTATTCTTAGCATTTTTTGCCGCACGTTCTCACGTGGAAGTAAAGAATATTTTTTGTTCACCTCAGGAGAAAACATCGTGCCTTAAATTCTCTGGTTTTTGTGTTGTTTCTGTTTCTTTATCCGTTGTCTTACAGTTGTATAGATGAGATATATGATGCACTGGCTCAACGTCTTCTATCTGCAGCAGCAACGACAGCAAACTCTAATTTTAAGTAAGTTTTAGCCTAAGGAATTAGGGTGAACTTGTAAAATTAGCTCTAATGATTAATGTTATTGTACAGAATAAATGTGTGGTCTAGCATAGCACGGTTTGTGGGCTCTTCCAATTATGAGTCCAATGATCAAAATTTGGCAGATGGTACTTGGTGATATGTTGTGGATCCGGTTCACAGTATCATTCTGCAGTAGTATTCTAGCTTTATTATGATTACAGGTATAGTTATATATTAATTAACCTTATCATAATCTTAATGACAACTCCCCCCCCCCCCCCGGGGGGGCTTTACTTCACTATATTGTACATTACTAATCCCATTCCAGTGAAAACTTCAGTTGGTTGTAGCTCGTGATAAATCAGCTGTTTTGTAGATCTTTTGCTTATCATTTGGGATAGGGTATTTATTACAAGAACAAAAAAATCTTCAATTATTTTATTGTCAATTAAATGCACAACTTCAATGTTGAGTTATTAATTGTATAAAAAAGTTAGGCGAACAATTCAGTTACATCTCTCACTGCCTCCTCTCTTATTGTATGACAAGGTCAAGGAAGTAATGTCTTATTGAATATATTGCTGGAAGTTTATGACTTGCTATGTAGAATATATGTTGGACTGATGCAAAATGAAGGGTTACTAATTTTTGTGAGATCAACACTTATATGCAGCTCCTTGTATCCTTGCTATCAAGTTTTCCAATTAAAACATGATGAGTGCATATTTTTTCAGACAAATGTGCATTTCCCTTGTTAAACTATGTATTTGTCATGTTTTAATTACAAAATCATACGCTTGATATATTTTCATTGGAAAACTGATGGCAAAGATACCGGGAACTACATTGTAATCTAATATTTTTTTCAAAGCTTGTAACCCTTGAAATCCTTCCACTAACTGCTTTTGCCAAAATTGTGAAATTTTCAAATGGCCTTGTGATTCCCTTTTTCTAGCAGGGTTGGGTAGTAAAATAGCAGCAGCGTTATGTTAAATTTTATCGATAAATATATTTATATACTTGTTGACTGATTTCTGATGTAATCCATTTGTTTTCAAGTTGAAAATTATTTTGATGATGCCAATTAGGTATTTGGTTGGTTTGGCTGGTCCTCCTGGTGCTGGAAAAAGTACTCTAGCACATGAAGTAGTCAGTCGTATAAACAAATTATGGCCAGAGAAATCTTGTTCATTAGATTCTCAGGTCAAGCCTTCTGATGTTGCTACAGTGGTTCCAATGGATGGTTTTCACCTTTATCGTTCGGAACTAGATGCAATGGAGGTTAGCTTTCTTATGGTGCTCTTTATTTTGGCCATCTTTTAGAAATTTCATTGCTAGTTCTGCCATTTTCCCTATGAATGAGCATCCAAGTGATTGCAATTTTAAGATGTCATGAAGTTTCTTATTGATTTTCTCACCTTGAGATTGAATTAGTCTTGTCTATCTCAATTAGGCCTTTTACTTTTCTGAACTATCTCTATAAAATAGAGTGAATGGTATGTGCATATTCATGATCCAGATTCCATCTTTATTGTTGATCATGTGGGCAATTGTAATTTTTATTGGATGTTTTTGTGCAATAGGACCCAGAGGAAGCACATGCCAGAAGGGGAGGTGAGGCACCTCTTAATTACTTACCAGTTTTAGACATATTTTCAGGAAAGGAATTGATATCTCATTGGTATCTCAGCTCCATGGACATTCAATCCTTCACGCTTGCTTACATGTCTCAAGAATTTAAGACGTCAGGTAAGGGTGCGTAATTTTAAAATTTACTGGTATTTGTTTTAGGCTTATAAACTCCAGAATTGGTTACTTTGGGCATGAACCTTTTTTATCGTCATGAAAGTTATGAGGATTATGTTCTAGGTTCTGTCATTATGTAAGCAGATAGGCATTGACGTTGATTGAGATCATATCTGCTTTGCATCATATCACATTTTCGTAAACAAATTTTCCAGGGATCAGTATATGCACCATCATTTGACCATGGTGTTGGGGACCCTGTGGAAGATGATATTTTTGTGAACCTTCAGTAAGCATCTTAACTTTAAGACATTACTTTGTCTGCAGTTTGGTAATTTATGGCACTTCAGTAGAACTGTTAGATTGGAATCCATATAAACCATCAGAGTATGCATAATAGGATGCATTTTGGATGAAGACAAGTGATTGTTTGTATTTTTAAAAAAATTCCTGTGAAGAAGTACTTTAGAAAAAAATTGCTTCTGAAACTAGGCACTCTATTTTTTTTTAAAATGAAAATAGAACCCTTGCAAAGGCGCATCAACTGATTAATAGTTTAAAGCTCACACTCAAAAGATGGTAAGCATGATTAATTAGGCCAAGACTTCACATTGAACCAACTAGGTCCAACCTCAAGATGGAGTCTGGATAACAAACTCCATCGTCTCAAAATATTATTCATAGGGCTGTGGTAATAGTGATAAGGTATGTTAAGATTCAGGGACTAGAAGAAAACCTAGGTAACTTCAATGGAAAATTATACGTCCAAGTATTTTTTGTTGGGTTCACGTTTGATGACTATGATAAAGCAAGCCCATGGAAGATACTGAATTAATTATTTATTCTATAATTGGAAATATTAATACTGTAAAGTTAATCTGAGAACTCTTAACTCTTGAGCACTTGTATTCTTAATTTTTCTTCATCTGTTCCAAAAGCTTTATCTGTTCCTAAATCGGCTGAATTTCAGCATTTCCAAGTTTTTGCAACTAAGCCAACTTATTTTGGATTTATAAATATGCAATTCTTCAGCACATTTCTTTATGTAGGCACAAAGTGGTTATTGTAGAAGGTAACTACTTGCTCTTGGAAGACGGCATATGGAAGGAGTTATCATCTTTGTTTGACGAGAAGTGGTAGTTTCTGGTTTTACCGAGTCTGAACTTTCTCTTTGTAACTTTTTTTGGCCTCGGGAACCGAGAGGATTAACTGTTCAGTAAATTCTAACAATGAGAATAAAAATAACTTCATTATGAAGAAAATATCACTGCAATATGTGGCAGCTTCTTGTGTTTTCTATATCACATGACAGTTCTCTAATTTTCTGGTCCTCATGACCCTCAAAAAAATATGTTCATGAAAGTAAGGATTTTTTACGATATGTTTTAGGAACAAAAAAGTCATATAGTGGAAGTACAGTGCAGGGTTTGGAGCGTGCATGCACTGTTTGCATATCTATAGGAAACGGGGTAATTTGTATGGACCATGAAGGAAACGACCTGATCTATAAGTCACGGGCCAGTTGCTTTTGCTGTTTCTGAATTTCTTCTATCAATTTATCTAATTTGTTCTGTCTTTTTGTTATTCGAGGTTTATTGATGTAGACATTGACAAAGCCATGCAACGAGTTTTAAAGAGACATATATCAACTGGTACCCACTTTTCATAAGTATTTAATTATTTATCAAACTCTTTTGTGAAGAAAATGCATTTTATAATTGCATGATTCCTTTCTCTATGCTCTCCCCATCTTCAATAGGCAAGCCCCCCGAAGTTGCTGCATATCGAGTAAGATTCCCACTTATAGCTAAGGAATATGTCTAGTGATTCTTGTGCGCAGTTGAGAGATGGTGACCACCTACTGGGTTTCATGATCCAGATATCTAACAATGACCGGCCCAATGCAGAGCTGATCATGAAGTCCAAAAAAAATGCTGATATTGTAATTAAGTCAGTTGATTTCTGATCATGCATATTGCTGGAAACGGGAAAATAGAGGAAAGGAATTTATTTATTAAACTGAAGAAAAGTATTAGGAGGAGGTCGTTGATGAGAAAATAATCCCTGGGATAATGTATTTTATTGATTGCATGCAAAATCATGTCCTCTCCTCTGGTTATATTCGGAGGGTTTGTTTTACTTTTTCTAATTATTTCCCTATGGTCTAGTGGTTTTAATTTCAGGACCAAATGATGGCATGGCCTGTCTTTTTATTTTCTTTTTATTTTTAATTGTTGTTTTGTACTTTTTTATTAATCAGACTTCTTGGTTATTCCGAAAAAGAAAAATGTTGGGAGGATTTGCAAGTCAATTACTTTTTCTGTTTTAAATTATGAGATACTTTTAATGGATATTTATCATTTTAAAATATAAGATATTTTGAGAGAATTAAGATTTTATTGAATAGGTTTATTTTAATTTTATTCTTTCTCTCTATTTAATGTTAATTAAATGTAGATTTAAGATTATTAAATGAAGAATATTTTTAAAAGTTTATATTTTTATTTTTTTAAAAAAAATTATTTAATATATTTAATTAAATTGATTTATATGTAAGATTTTATTTAAAAATATATTTATCGCCAAAGGTAATGATTAGTTATGTTAGCATAGTTTTATGCGTCAACCTAGCAATCAATTTCTTCACAATCCTGAGTTGATACACATGGTGGTAATTGGCTACATTTGGAACTGATATCTGAGCGCATTAGTGGAAGTGGCGAATCCACCTAGGCCTTCCTCGACATCTCACAATGACATTTTTATCTTTTATTCAGTGGCAACCTTCCATCCACTTGACAGTGGCCAGTAGGGTTTTATGAAACTAAACCACATTGAATTTTGGTCTAATTTAAAATTTGATTTCTTTTAAAAAAATTGAGTTAGGTAATTTATAATTCAATTTTATCTAGTAATAATTCAAAAATTAATTAGATAGAATATGATTCATGGGATTGAAAGATTGATCTTATTAGTCCAATATTCACCTAGCTCTTTTTTTTCTCTGAGAGGCAATAATTTATTTTAACTTAATAAATTCAATTAAGATAATAAAAACACTTATAGTCATAATAAATCTATAATAATTTTCAAAAAAAAGAAAAATATTTCAGTTATAGTTCAAATGATTTAAATTTATAATTTTAACAAAAACAATATTCAACAAACTTCAACATTATGTTATAATAATAATTTATAAACAAACTCAATAAATTTTACTGCAATCATCTCCTTAGCATCAAATACACTTAAAACATTTGTTAAAAATAAATTAATTATAAATATATTAAATAAATTAATAAGACTGAATTGGATTAAGTAATTAAGATGTTCAATCTTCTGTTCAGTCTAACTTAACAAAATAGTTTAAATTTTTTAGTTTTTTTAATCTTAAAAGACCAATGTCTATCCAAATCAGATAGGATAAAATCATCTTAAATCAAATTAGATCAGATTGGAGGATATTTGTGCAGCTCTGACTGCCAGCACCTTGTTGCGCGTTACTTTCTGTCAGCACGTGAATACAGAAAATAACAACAAACGGCGAATTATTCATATCGGCTTTCTATAAACAGCTTGGCAACTTATGATGGAATCAACCAAACTTCCTCAATTGGAGGAACCACAATCGTCATCCCAATATTACTATTTGACCTTTTTTGAGATTGTTGTAATTTATTTTCAACCAAAAAAAAAATTTGTGTTTCGTTCAAGATTCTTATGTTTCTTTATATATATATATATATATATATATTATAAAGTTTTTTTTTTTAAGAAGCACCAAGGCTTGAAACATTCGTGTCTCTTACCATTTCAATTGATTTTCTTATTCTAACTTTCTTGCAAAAATATATCAATTGCAACCCTATTATTTTTAGTTTTTATATCATTGTATTTTATATTGTTTATATGTATATAGTATTCATATTACAACAAGGGATCTCAAATACATTTTAAATTCATAATTCAACTAATTTTGCAAGTTCTTTAACTTTTATCAATATATCATTTACTTCAATTCCAGTTGCTTGATTATGTTATTCTAATTCTAACCTTGATATACTGTTATTTTAGACTGTTAAATTGTAAAAATAACTTACTCATATACATTGCCATTCTAATGTATAATTTATGTCTACTTTAACTTTAAAATTATTATAAAATGTTGCATCAGTTGGTTTTATTTTGAAAAATCTATTTATATAAATATTGTAAGATGTTTTTATAAAGGTTCCACCTTTTTTGGGTTAATAGATTTTTCTCTATCTATCTCAAACAACAACTCCTCACAACACCTACAATATGGTTAGGGTAGGGGTGAGCATTTTACCTAAGAACCCACTCATACTTGCCTAATCTATTGCCAAACAGCTCAACTAGTATTCTTACATGACTACCCATTTAGTGAAAAACATGCAAGTAATAGGTAAGGCCACGAGTGGCCTGTACCTACCTGTATATACAAATCACTAATATTCACTAATTATATTCAGATCATACCTACTATTCACTTACCCAAATAAGCCATTAAGGAGGTAGTAACCTAATAACCCAAACCTAACCCTAGTCATTCTTTACTTCCTTGATACCTCGATGCTCAGTAGTTTCTCATTAGCCATTGACCTTTTAGTTTGCCTCTTCAGATTGTGAGATGACTGTGTCCCTGCCTTTCTCTCCAGTATTTAGTCATTTCTGACTCTCCACCTTCTTCTTCAGTCTTCAATTGTCTTCAATTTTCTCTGCCTTTATCTTTAATTTTTGCTGTCTTCATCTTCATTCTAACTCTTTACTTCAGGTCTAGCATTCAGCGTGCCATCTATCGTCGAGCCTTTTGCCTTTATCTTCTCCTTCCACTTTACCTTCTTCTTTTTCTGTACACATTCTTCTTCGATTTTTATCCTCAGTTCTTCATCACTGGTATGGATTCATAATATTAAGAACCCCTATTCTTGCTAGTTTTGGTTCATCACCATTAATTAATAATATTAGTTATATTAGCTTGTTGTCAAAAGTGAACTACTTCAAAGGCCAAGGAAAAATGCTTGCTGTAGAAATTGTATTAAGAATTACCATTCTTGCTTACCGCCGGGGAAATACTTGTTGTCAAAAAATAATAGTACTGGCTTACTGAGAAAGTCTTTATATAAGGTCTACTTTACTATTCTCTAATTAACTCCCAAGTCATGGTAATTAAAGGATTAACTCCAATTAAGATCATTAAGTTTGTAAATTTACCAATATAAGATCCTCAGTTTTCAAAATTAAAACAGTGTAATGTATCTTTACAATTTAAAAATTAGAGCTCTAGATATATATGGAAGCATGTGATCTTTTATAAGTTAAAACATTTGCATCATAAGTGAAAACAATAAAACAATACAGGAAAACAAACGTGTGCCACGACATGTTTGTCTCTTTGGGTATGGGTGGCATATTGCAATTTTTGATAATTTTATTGTTTTCATTTGACAGCAATTGGTGTGAACTTCCAATGTACTCCATTTCTCTGTCCGAAGTCCAATTGAGACAATTTAGGTGTTCATAAAGATCTTTCTCCTAACTCTAGCTAATGGTATTGATTCCACAATTAAATTATTTCTTAGTCAAAAATTGGACACCCATTTCATAATTCACTCCTTTTCACAAATTAAACAAATCTTAGGTGTCTTAATTTCTTACCAAGTGCTAAAAGCCGTAAATACACCCTAAACCATGATCAGTAGACTAATACAAACTTATGCAATATACCACATCACAAGCTTAACTACTTAAACACATTTCAATGCTTAACTCATTTAATCATAAAAACAGAAGGGGGGCCTTAATGTCATAATCATTGTAATCAATCAACATCAATCACATTTTACTTACTTCTTAATTATACTAGTATTTTGGCCTTTTTTAGATTTTATAATTTACACATATATTTAGTCTAGAGTCCAAAATATATAGTTTAACATTAACCAACATATAATGTACAACATCCTCAATTTTAAATTAGATTAATTAAGCTCAAATAGATTAATTAAGTGTATTAGTAAGGTGTATGGCTAGAGGGGCCTAATAGGCATGTTTGGTCTTGATTTTAGTTCTAAACATGAGTCTAAAGGAGAATCGGGTTACTTGAGAATGGAAGAGGAAGAATTTCTAAAGAAAGTAATTTTGTGCCATGTGCTGTGACTTATGGATGGGCCACTACGATGCATGCATGATAATATGCCTAGAAGAGACTCTTTGTGCCATGCACTGTGATCCATAGTCATTTTTTTACTGAAATAAGTCATAAATTTGATACACCAAGAAGAAAAGAAATGAAGAAATGAAAGAATAGTGAGAGAGCAATGCTAGGGTTTGGGAAAACTAAGTATTAGGAGTATTTTGGAGCTCTTAAACATGAAAGGTGAGCTTTTCTTAAATCTTCCTCTCTACTTCCATTTTCTTGATGGTAAAGGTTAGGGTTTGATTGATAATGGTTATTTTTGGTCTATAGAAGTTATGAGTCTGAATCCATTAACTTAAATAGAGTTAATGGGAGTAGATTGAGTTAAATAAACTTGATATTTATGGTTTTATGATGATGGGTAGTTGGAGGACATTAAATATCCAAAATTCTCATAAATTTGGTGGTTGGGAACAATGTAGTTTCATTAATGACCATTTAAGAGCTTAATATTATTAATAACAGTTAAAGGAAGCTAAGAAACCTTATGGATACTTTTACATGAGTCAAGAATGAATTTTAAGTATTAAGAAATGATGAAGAGTTAGTGAAAAATAGCTCAAATATGAATATTAATGTTTTGCAGGGTAAATGCCATTGGCACCATTTGAGTTTCTTAGAAGCTTTAGGAGTGAATAATTAAGGGGTGAAACCTTTGACATATCAAAGGTTTAAGGTAATCAGGAGAATTATATTTTATGCTTTTGTATGTTTATTAGTTTATGGATTTATGATTAATCATTGAAATGTGTAAATTAAAAAGAAATGCAAGTGTGGCTTGATTTGTTAGAAAATTTACTAGATCAAATTTGTGAGTTTTATGCCTTGTGATGTAAAATTTCTTTAAGAACATTATCGGTGGATTTTCATATTATGTTTATTGGGAGTTTAATGATTTTACAAATTTTGAAGTTAGAGTTCAATGACTTGTTTGGTTTGAAGTTTCATGAAAATATGTTTAAGAAGTCCA